AGCCAAGCACATATCTTCCGATTTGGTGAGTGACTTCTCAAACGGCTCAAAAGAATTGTTATTCAGGTCGGATCAATCTTGACTCACAAGGTGCCGAGTCTGTCCGCTAGAAAAGTATTATTGATGCATGAGCAATGCTAATGGCTGGCATGTACAACAGGAAACAGGGAAACACTCATATGGTCAGTTTGTCCTCTGTCCCCTAATCACTGGCCCCTCTATAAATTAGAAAGTACTGCTAAATATGTTTAGGTATTCTCTTTATTGAGACCATAAAATACCCAAACCCATAATCTCCATCCTAAGAAGACTTGAAAAGATAATTGGAAGATTATCTAGTGGTCTATTAGAATAGCCATCATAAATATTCTAATACATACAATGCTCTGCTACCCTGGTTACTTGATAACAGCTATACTGCATTGCTAAAGGTAAATAAACAAAGGCTGCAATTATTGTTTTGCTTAGGGATCTAGATATGGTCAGTAAGGATTCTATAATGCCCTGGTAATTGATTTTTAGGATTAATAAATGCTTTTCAAAATTCTATAATGCTTGTTTTTTAGGATAAATGTTTTTCAAATCATGATTCAAAAAGTAACATTTGACGAACACGACGCGTTTTCAAGTTTGCGGGGTTTTGACGCTAGAAATGAATACGGCAAAAAACATCGCATAGTCTATGAAATTGTCTCAATCTACTTCCGATTCTTTTGTAACCATTAATTAAGATTTGTACAGATATACCAGAGAGGCTTATTTTCTTCTATAAATTCAGCACCTTGATTGGCCTTGATACCCCGAATTTTGTTTGGTTTCAACCATTGAGAACAAAAAAGGACATTTTGCAGGGCAAAGCTGTATAGTTATATATGGAGATTTTCAAAAATTATTCTATATTTTTTTTAATAAATCACCACAGAACAATTACAATGTCTGAAAATACTAGATTTCTTCATCTTGAATTAGATAGTTACCTCAGGTGGGTCAACCATACAAGTTATTGAAGAACTCTCAATAAGGTATAATAATAATAATAATAATGCCTTTATTAACTGCAGCGAGGTGAAGTTTAGCCAGATGGCTACTCTTACACTCAACCTCACAACAGGAAAAAATAATACTTAAACACGTAAACAAAATAACATACCAAAAAAAAAAATACAATTCATAAGAATGACAACATTGATTGCACGAGACAAATGCAGATAGTATTCCGATAGTTTTAAATTTGAAACAAAAATAGTAGAAAATAGTCAAACAAAAAAAAAAAGAAACACATGAGCACAAGAAAAACTGAACTAAATGGACTCCAGCAGCTGACTTCATTAATTTCCTAAAAGAAACAACCTGTTTGGATCGATAGCCACTGTTGACTGCATTGTAATGCTTGACAGCATTGTAGGTGTAACTTCTTTCAAAGACCGAGGTATTGTGAGGAGGCATGTTAAAATTAGCATTAAATCTAAGAGCTCTGGTAACAAAACTACCTCGATGAACTAATTTGCTAGCGAGGTAAGCTGGTCTGTTAGATAGTAGAACTTTATGCGTGAAGACGGTCAAAAGATATAAAAATAACTTATCAATTCGCAACCAGTTGAGTTCTTTGATTTTATCTGAGACGCGACTAAACTTGCGCAATCCAAAAATAAACCTACAACAGCTGTTCTGAATTTTCTGGAGTTTCCTTTTGTGGACGTAGTCTAAACATGGGTAATACAGAACAAGAGAGTAAGAAATGACAGACAACACAAGACTTTCAGCAAGCTTTTTTCGGGTTTTAAAATTCAAGATGTATCGATTAGAATAGAAGAGTTTCAAACGCAAATACGTTACTCTAGATAAGAAAGAGACATGCCGATCGAATCTCATATTTAAGTCAAGGGTAACACCGAGATTCTTGGCGTAATCCACAAAAGGGATGAGTGTCTCATCCAAAAAACACAAATCCTCTGCTTCATTTCACGGTAGGAGTTCTTCGAACAGTACAACATTGCAGTAGTTTTATTAGGATTGATCTTCAAGCAGTGTTTGTTACAGTAATCACCGATGTTAGCCAAATCTAAATTAACTTTAAAAGTAACTTCATCAACCTTTGATGGATCGAAACCAAACACTAACTGAGTATCATCTGCATAAGTTTGCATACTACAGTGGACTAAACAGTCTTGCAGATCGATCGTATAAATCAGATATAGTAAGGGACCTAATACTGAGTCCTGAGGAACTCCTGACGGAAATGGCTCAGAGGAGGAAATTCCCTGATCAGTTTTCACTGTTTGTTGACGATTTAGCAAGTATGACTCAAAGAACCTTAGAACTATATCTGACATTCCATAATGAGATACCTTACTCAGTAGTATCTGGTGATTGACCATATCAAAGGCTTTCGAGAAATCTAACAGTACCAAGACGGTGTTGATGTGATTATCTAAATTGTGAATGATGGAATCAGTAAGATGTAATAAAGACGAAGTAGTGCTGTAACCAGCTCTGAAACCTGACTGATGTAGAGGAAATAAGTGATTTTGTTCGAAAAACTCCACTAGTTGTGAGTAGACAGCTCTTTCGAGTATTTTTGATAGAAAGCATAATAAGGTAATTGGCCTGAGATCCGAATATTGTTCTGGATGATTAGTTTTAGCTATTGCAATAATAATACCATTTTTACAACTGGCAGGAAAGTAACCTGTTTCGAGACAGACATTAATAATGTGAGTTATATGGTCCATGGTATCAGGCAAACATAAGCAAACCATATTTAAAGTTAGACCATCAGAGCCACATGCCGTAGACTTAATGTGAGAGATTATATTGACGATGTCTTGCTGAGTAAGGAGTTTAAAAGCAAACAGAGGTGCATCCGGTGTATGGCGTCTATCGCTATAAGAGTTAGAGACACTATCAATCAAATTTGGATCAGCTGCAGCTGTCTGGAAAATTGAAAGAAAATAATTATTTAAAATGTTAGGCTCAAGGAGACTGGGAGGTATCGCAACATGTTATTCTATAAGAATTATTTCGATAGGAAAACTTTGAAAGTTGTGTATCAATCAAATTTTGAATCTAGATTAAGATATGGAATTACGTTAACCAGAAACTGTAGTGATTTTGACGAAATTTTTGTAATATAAAAGAGTTTGAAGTTAAATAATCATGTATAAACAAAATCAAGCAATTTGGTATTTTACTAGTTTTTAGAATGCTTATTCAAAAGTGCCTTATACAAAGTTGAGTTATTCATTTTATCTGCCTGTAGGACTCGACAAAAGGAGTTGATATACCAAAAATCATCGATATAAAAGTTACAGAATAAAAGAAATAGTGGAAGATTGAAAATTTAAAAAAATAAGAATGTTATAACACAGAATGTTTTATTTTTATTTTTACAAAAACAGGACAAGAGTAATTATTTGTAGCAAATTGAAGGTAAAATGTGAAAAATTGCTTTCATTCCAGTTAGCAGTTTTGCAGATATAAACAAAAATGTTGCTGATTTTTAAACTTCTACATCCCCTATCTTTTCAATGAAGCCCTCAAGGAAAACTGTTACATAGAAGACCCCCTTTAAAATGCATTCCTGTGTAGGATGTTTAATTTTTGGTCATGACTTGTGAATCACCCTGTATACGACCAACCTAGAACTTTTAAACCTCTTCCCGATTTTACTACAGTTCAAAGATCTGATTAACAAGATGTCTTTAAGCTCATTAGTGTCTACAATGCCCCTATATTTGGGCTTCTGACTAAAGGCCTGCTTTAGTATTTTTCATTCACTTGTACTAATGTAATAATAAAGACTTCTGCATATCTGTGATTTTCTCCTGGGTACACCAGGTGTATATTCCGAAACTTCATTGGTTTTTTACCAGTACTAGGGAGCAGTCCCAGATGGCTCATTTTCTACCCAAAATTCAACCCCACAATGCTTTAAAATACACCGATAGTTATATTCAAATCCTCTATAGCAAATTACATTTATGCACAAAGTTTTGGTCACTTCTTGCCACAGAAAATGATAATGGAACTTTTACATGGTCAAGCTGTACATTATTATAAGATAATTTATAAAAATAAATTCAAGAATCATTTGTCATAAAATATATACTGATTCATATGCTTTTTTCTATAGAAACCATATGAATGTGACTACCACTATTTACACTGTGCATATTGTATAATTTAAGCATCATTTCATTGCCATTGCCAGTTACTGGGAAGGTCCTTTCTTTTAACTAATAATTTATTATCTTCTGAGCATCTCTAGTGTTGAATGTTAAACAATAGCAATTCAATAAGCAGTAAAATAATGGTATACTTAAATAACTGATCTGAAAATGTAACACCTGCAAACAAGCAAATTTCTACCTACCTTTCGCTGTAAAAAAAGCGAGTATTTTAATGACAATGAAATAAATACAACAGAGATTCTTGTAGATTGACTATGTCTCAGGTGTTTAAGCATAACAGTCTTAAAAAGGAAGTAGTACTTCCAGAGATTTTCAAGAAAAATCTTAAGACAATGAAACTGGTTATTGATTACCCTTATTCCCTGAGAGTGTAAGGAATCATCTGCATATATGTTGATATAGATGTTGCACTGTCAAAATCGCGAGGATTTCATGGAAATAAAACAACAATATAAGGGGCACTCAATAATCGGGGAGTGTTAGTGGATGGATGCTTCAGACAAAAATGAATACCTACCAATAACCTTGAACTGTAGCTGGCCTATCTCCGAAATTTTCTCAAAAGAACATTTCGGATACGCGAACACAAAAGCAGGTGTAAAAATCTATGGAAACTGCCGGTTGTAAATGGCAGAATTACTTTTGAAAACAGACCCACTCCTCAAACAAAAAATCAGACCAATCATGACCTCTGACATGAACATCAACGCTTGTGATTATTTGGCGAGATAAGTGTGCGATCATGGAAAATACACCTATTTCAAGCTTGGAAAATGAAAATTCGATATAAGAGAAGGTTCAAGTACTTACGTCTCATTGGAAATATCTTTAATTGATGGTCTTATTAAAACAAATTTCATAAATATGGCTACATGAGATATGGACGTCTATTCATACGTAAAAAACACTCGAATCTTCAACGTGGAGACTGTCGGACGACTCAGAAATGTGCACAATTACTCAACGGCGTTACCGATTAACTATTTACGATATTTATTAGTCATAAAGTTCATGTTTTTAGGCGTTATTTATGTATAAATCGAAAGCACTAGCTCACCAAACTTTGGTCCGCCATTTTAGAATTTTCACTAACAATAGAAAGCGCCATCTTTCGGAAGCGACGGTTTTGGCGGTAAAATTGATTCAAACAATGCTGCTTATTTCTTATTTCAAAACCAGTAATTACCAATTTTTAAGAACTTGCTCAACAACTTTCAACGTGCTGCCAAAGCAGAATCCCAGGTATGCGATACAATCCTGGTCAGCCACGAAAACTGAGTGATGTAAAATGCACGGAATTTACGATAACTTTTTTATTTCAATTTATATCCGTATTCTGGTTTGCTCGTACTTTTTTCCTCTATTACGTCTAGGATCTATTTTATAACTGAATATTGGCAACTTTTACTCCCTTATGTGAAAAAATATTGAGAATGGGGGTGTGCCATGCCTTGCGTGAGTCGGGTTGCCGGATACCGGGTAGAAACTAGAAACGTGTAGAGAAAATTGCGTTGATATGCGCATGGCAAGAAGAGAATAATAGGTCTTTTATTTGAATTGAATGGTCCTAGAATCGCAATCAATATACAGGGCTTTGCAAATTACAAACATAGATAATGTAACACGTTAGTTGAATGTTGTATCACAAAAATTTGATACGTTTCATGTAGCATTAGATTATAAAAGAATCAGATGATAATTTCTATATTTGAAGGCAGTTATATAGGTATAGTTTATTCACTGAATCAAAGCAGTTACGTCACAACGTCAAATGACAATGACGCACATGGTTGCCATATCAATTAAAACTACTAGATCCAAGGATGTTTTACAAAATCTACTTTATGTCTTCGATGCCTTACCGCAACCAACATTACGGAGCGTATGTTTTGTAAACTCTAGAACTATTATAAATTCTATTTACTACCTAATACCTCTCTTACGGATTGTAAAGGCAATAATGGAGGTCGATGATCTCGTTCGGTCTCAAAATATTTCGTCAAAGAAATGACGAATTCTTTTGTTTGTCGAGCCAGAGGTTTCGGCATTTTAGGAAAATGCCTAAAAGGACACCTCAAAGTTTCGAAAAAAACTGTTTTTATAAAATAATGCAAATATTGAGGCAAAACAAATTAACAACAAAACCGTTGGCGTAAGTACCTGACAAGCTTTGCGACAATGTCACAACTCTAAAAACTGTTACCAACATATATGTACCCGGGAAATTCAAACTATGCGTACCAATTTAGGATCTATTTTGCATTAAGGTTGGCATTCAAATTCACTGAATATGACATAACTGCTTTGTTTCAGTGAATAAACTATAGGTTTACATCACCGGCGTTCTACCATATTCTAGTCAAAACTGCCTTTATTTCAAGTTATAAAATAAAGTTTGTTGAACACAAAGCAGAACTCATATTTCAAAATATTCCACTACTAAACAATTTTATTTCAAAATAATTGCGGTAGCGCTGAACGAAAACTAAATCGACCAGCGAGCTGTGAATGCCTCTTGTTAAAAAACTAATGTGGTTAAACATAACGTGCATTGCTTTCTTTCTAAGGGTTCAAAAGTTCGGTTCTTGCGCCTTGCACTTACGGTATTTTTTAGTCCAAAATGACAGGCGCCTCAAGGAGATACATAGGCGTCCGCAGAGGGGTGCCAAAAGTGGCCGTGACGCCCCCTAGGAATCCGGCTGGACCTTAAAATTTGCATATTTAACATGATTTTGTGTACTATTTTGGGGATTTTTAGGATTTGCTCTCACCCCCGCAGAAAATTTGCTACCCCCGTTCTTCAGAAGCTTGGGACAGATACTTTTCTGGTCTTCAATAATTTCCACAAAAGATGTTTCCGAAGGCCCCGACGAAAAAAAAACCCTTCGAGCGCGCATGAGGAGATGAAGATTTCCAGAAAAATGAAATCAAAATTTAGCATTATTGTGTTAGATATGTCTATCGTAAAATCTTCATGAAAGGAGTAGGTAAAAAAAATAATGAAACCTTTTCTCGGCAAGAATATATTTTATTAGGTACTTTCCATTTTACATCATTCTCGGTTGAACATGCTTGATTAGGCCACCTAAAAACAACTGGACCTCAAGCTAAAATAAAAATTATCTATATCTATGACCTTCATGCAAAAATAAAGAACGTATTATAATATTTACACATAATATTCAGATCTGCACGACGTTTTTTATGTACACAATGGAATAACACAAAAAGTATCACTTTAAAACCTAATATCAATCATTGGTAAACATTCAGGGCAAGAAAGACTAGATTCGTAGTACAGTCAAATTAGACGCCTGCTTATATATTTTTTATTCACCTTTTCGATAGAATATTTAGTGAAAATTGGGTAAAAATCGGATTCCCAATGTCAGAAAATAAGTCAGGCTGAAAAAGCTTAGAAACTTATAACTATACTGCCTCTATTTATCATACAGGCGGGAGTCCCATTCCAAACTCCTCACCTAAATATTTCGAAAACTACACAGCCAAAAGGTTTCAAATAAAAGTTGCAGGATTTCGGAGGGGTATGATGAAGGTGGCCTTCACCACGACCTTCAAGGTCATTCTAAGGGTAAGCGAATATTTGCAACTAAAACCCCCCTTTCTTATCCTGGAATTGTAAAGACGAAATTATTAATTATAAATTAATATTTTTATGCTAAAATTGCAGACAGCAAGAAATTTTATATTCAAACGTATAAAATTTTTTCTTGACCTTGAAGGTAATGGTTAAGTTCATCATCAAAGGCACCTTTGAGCGACTTACACAACCTCGCATCTGTCATGCCTTACATATTTGTTAGAGCAAATTGTTTTCAATGTCTTGACTTTGAAATCGCCTTGAAGGTCATAGTCATTGTCAAGGTCACACCCGGATGTAAAATTATGACTTGATCTTGAAGGTAATGGTCATCAAGGTAATCGTCAGAGTCACCTTTGGACGACTCGCATATTCTCACATCTCTCATGTCGTACATTTTGGTTGGAGCAAATTGTTTTCAACGTCTAGACTTGACCTTGAAGATCATAGGTATTGCCAAGATCACAGCCGGATGTAAAATCCTAACGACCTTGAAGGTAATGGTCATCAAGGTCACATTTGGGTGACTCTCACAAACGTCACATCTACGATGTACATTTTTGTTGGAGCAAATTGTTTTCAACGTCTTAACTTTGAAATCGCCTTGAAGGCCATAACCATTGTCAAGGTCACACTCGGATGTAAAATTATGACTTGACCTTGAAGGTCCTCGTCAAAGTCACCTTTGGACGACTCGCATATTCTCACATCTCTCATGTCGTACATTTTGGTTGGAGCAAATTGTTTTCAACGTCTAGACTTGACCTTGAAGATCATAGGCATTGCCAAGGTCACAGCCGGATGTAAAATCCTAACGACCTTGAAGGTCACATTTGGGTGACTCTCACAAATGTTACATCTTTGATGCACATATTTTTTAGAGCAAATTGTTTACAACGTCTTGACTTTGAAATCGCCTTGAAGGTCATAGCCATTGTCAAGATCACACTCGGATGTAAAATTCTGACTTGACCTTGAAGGTAATGGTCATTAAGGTCATAGTCTACACTTGACTTTGAAATCATAGTCATTGCCAAGGCCACAGCCGGACGTAAAATTCTGACGACCTTGAAGGTAATGGTCATCAAGGTCACCTTTGGGTGACTCTCACAAACGTCACATCTGCGATGTACATTTTTGTTGGAGCAAATTGTTTTCAACGTCCTAACATTGAAATCGCCTTGAAGGTCATAGTCATTGTCAAGGTCACAGCCGGATGTAAAATTCTGACTTGACCTTGAAGGTAATAGTCATCAAGGTCATCGACAAAGTCACCTTTGGGCGACTCGCATAACTTCACATCTCTCATGTCGTACATTTTTGTTGGAGCAATTTGTTTTCAACGTCTAGACTTGACCTTGAAATCGCCTTGAAGGTCATAGTCATTACTAAGGTCATACTCGCATGTAAAATTTCTCCCTCTTTCAAATTCTGATGTAAAAAACGGAGGGTTCTATTTGAAAATTTTCAATTTTCCTTGAATTCGCCTTGAAGGTCATAGTAATTGCCAAGGTCATACTTGGATGTAAAATTTCTCCTTCTTTCCAATTATGATGTAAAAAACGGAGGATTCTATTTGAACATATTAAATTGACCTTTTAATGTCCCTGACGGTCGTAATTAATGTCATAGTCAGCATTTTTCCTCGTGATACCTCACAGTTTTTTTGAAACTTTTCTCTAGGTGACATAGTATTCGAAATAATGGGACGCCCTAGTTTCGAAGCGCTCAGATATCTATTCTAAGATTTGTCTTTCAAGATGCCAATAATCACAGGCCTTATAATAGGAGAAACACGTGTTGTACCTAAAACTTCATAATCACAGACTAACAACTACATAAAGTAACCCTAAATACATATAAAAATATATAGAATCAAATACCAGCTAATCTGGTAAAAATAGAATTCTTGTTGCCCAAAGTATGATAATTCGGAAAAAGTAATATTAATTAACACCATAAAAAACTTCTTTGATTTGGAAAACTTTCTTATTGCACTATTCAAAATTCTAGAATAATGTATCATACATTAGTCATTCTGCATAGTAACTTTCCGATTTGACTGTACTAAAATGGTAACCGACTACAAAAAAATTATCTAAACATGATGAGATGAAGGTGAAGATATACCATGAGACACAGATTTTTCAAGAACCACATCTAATTCGTCTAAAGGTAAAAGAATCTGTCTGAGAAACGTCAGCAAGCCCCTATTCCTCAAAAACGAGGTTTCTTCATACATCTCTAAGGTTACTTTGCACACCGACATTGGAACCAGCATTCTATGGAGAAGGTGCTCCCTGAAAACAAAAAATACACAAAAATAAAATAGAAATACTGCTTAGATAGCAATTGCAGTTATCTGGAATGCTAGAAGCAGCATTAATGTCTTGTAATGGGTGATTTTTTTGCTAGTATCTTTTTGGCAACACTGTTTTTGACAGATGACGCGTGAATCGTGTCTTGTGTCATTGTCACACTTGTTCAGTTTGGTCTATAATTTTACAATGAATCGACTTAACAACAAACAACGCTTGCAAATTACTGAATTTTACTATCAAAATTCATCCTCGGTTAAGAGAGTGCATCGAGCACTGCTTCCAATTTATGGGCAATTTGGTCGGCCTACTGAGGGAGCTATTCGGAAGCTTGTGACTAAATTTCGAACCCAGTTTACATTATTGGACATTAAACCACCAACATGCAGACGTAGAGTGAGGACTGAAGAAAATATTGCGGCTGTATCCGCCAGTGTTAGTGATGACCGTGAAATGTCGATTCGCCGCCGTTCGCAGCAATTGGGCCTCTGTTACTCCACTACGTGGAAAATTTTGGTACAGGATTTGGGTGTAAAACCTTATAAGATACAGCTGGTGCAAGAATTGAAGCCACACGACCTCCCACAACGTTTCCAATTTGGTGAATGGGCGCTGGCAAAGTTGGAGGAAGATCCACATTTTTATCGAAAAATTGTGTTCAGCGACGAAGCTCATTTCTGGTTGAATGGGTACGTTAACAAGCAAAATTGCCGCATCTGGAGTGAAGACCAACCAAGCCAGAAGCATTGCAAGAGCTACCAATGCATCCCGTAAAAATCACTGTTTGGTGTGGATTATGGGCCGGTGGCATTCTTCAAAGACAACAATGGCCGGAACGTAACTGTGAATGGCGAGCGCTACCGTGCGATGATAACAAACTTTTTTGTCCAAAATGGAAGAGCTGGACTTGGCTGACATGTGGTTTCAACAAGACGGTGCCACATGCCACACCGCACACGAAACAATGGCCCTATTGAGAGGCGAGTTCGGTGAACAGTTTATCTCACGTTTGGGGCCCGTCAATTGTCCGCTTAGATCGTGTGATTTAACGCCGTTGGACTATTTCTTGTGGGGCCATGTTAATGTCTACAGGGATAAACCAGCAACGATTGACGCACTGGAAGCCAATATTGAAGCATTTATTCGTGAGATACCGGCCGATATGTTGGAGAGAGTGTACCAAAATTGGACCTTGCGCATGGGCCATCTAAAGCGGAGCCGCGGCCAACATTTAAATTAAATAATTTTTAAACATTAAATTATATCGACCGTTCTATCGACTCAAATAAAGATTTAACCGTTTTTTCAAATTTTTTGTGTTTTTTTTTTGAAAATCAAATCCTATACCTCTTAAAAAATCACCCGTTATTATTTTTTTTGTTTTTGAAAATCGGGTCTGTTTTTTAAGCCTAAAAGAATTACTATGATCCTTCTTAATAACATGGCTGTAAGGATGGAAATTGTACGTGCACCTCCTCATACAGCATAGAGTTGGGCATCTTTTTACGGAATATGTTTATCGGTGCTAATATTCTGAAGTGACACAAATATACAATTTTCGAAAAAACCTACCTCACACTAAGGCATATAAAGAGCTGGAATTTTCCATCTTTCCCCAAGTTTTTACTCGACTGTGTTATTTCTTCTATCAAGTGACAGTAACACCTCCAAACAGCCACGGTTTCTTGATGATTCCGTTCTAAACTTGCCGATTTGTGACCAGACAGCTCTTCCAGTAGTTCATTTTCAAACTGTTCTTTTACTCTCACTGCAAAAATACCCAAATGTAAAATTTAAGTGGAAAATTAAAAATAAAAACAACTTACCAAAATAGTCCCATAAGTAATGTTTTCCCATGAAAAGTCTCCCCGATTTGAAACCAAGTAAAAACACGTTCTCGAGACAAGACACTAGTCCATTTTCGCTACAAAGCAGAGCTGTTAGCGTTGTATGTCTTTCGGAGCTTCGTCTGTAGTGCCATTTCACAATTTTGTTTACACAGTCGCCTAAAACGTTATAATTAGTATGCCAACAATTTGTCACTCTAAGAAAAATATACCTAGCATGTGCTGTATTTGTGATGGTTTTAATTCGGCTTTCTGGGGAATAGCCGGTGATCGAGATCTAGGGGAGGGTCTTCCCAGACTTCCGCCCTGTCTAACTGCTGTCGTCTCCTCTATTTCGTCTTTTTTCGATATCAATGTGCCTACGAGCAGTCTCTCTGTCGAACCGTCATCTACACCTCGACCCAACCATCTAGCACACGGAAATCTACAATAAAAAAAATGGCGTCAAGTACAGATTGCACAACCTTGCTAGGCATGACCTTCGCTCTTCAGCCGGCTTCTATCTCTGTCTAACATGGATTCAATTCCAAATTATTTTATTATCCTAAGAGACATTACAAAGTATGTATAGGATTCATCGGAATAAAAACTAATAAAACAACACAAAATAAATATATGTATAAAACAAACACACAAATAACTCATAACATAACAAACTCAGAGACGGCATAATAACATTTACACACAAGAAAATCTGTTAGTTTAGCCTTAAAATTATGCATATCTCCACACTCTTTAATATGGTTTGGTAACCTATTGAAAATTCGTGGACCCAGTATTTCCGGAGATCTGACGCCGATCTTATACAAAACACACATTTAAGTCTCCAGATTGTCTGGTCGAGTACGAGTTAAAATTGTTTAAAAATCTAGTTTTGTTAATAAAAGTATACACAGCCATTTCGTATAAAAATAAAGATGGTAAAGTTAAAATCTTAAGGCGCTTAAAAATACCCTTACAAGAATTCCTGCTGCTGACTCCCATCATGCATTTAACCACTCTTTTTTGGGCCAAAAACACTTGTTAGGCATTTGTAGACAAACCCCAGAAGCATAGTGCATATCTCAGTCGTGATACACGCTTCTCTCTCGCACAAATTGAACTCAAGCCGGCAGACAAATTTGGTTCTCAGTGTATGTGCCAAGTCGGTTGGCTGTTGTCAGTTACTTTCAGTGAGACCGATCCCTAAGTTTTGAAAAGTCGCAGCAACAAGATCATAAGATATTTTTTAACAGAATAGCACTTACTTGTATGTGTGTCCGGTGATGTCATTTCTTACAATAATATAATCTATCATCCATTTTGCATATAACCCGGTATTATCATGACCTATTCTAAGTGTTGTTAACACTCCCAGATTCTGGTGCTAAAAAAATAAGATAAACGATTAGAAACACAAAAAAGTATGTTGTTGATTTTTTTACCTTATAAGGAAAGTTGAGAGTTGCCTTTGGTACTGAGATTCGGTTAGTTTCAGATAGGGTTCCAGACAGAACCACCCATACGTTCGCTGAGGAAGTTGTGCCTTTTTTGTTAGGTACTATCACAATCTGGTACGGTATCACTAAAATAAGAAGTGATACGAAAAAATTGAATATAATTCCTGGAGGATAATACAGAATGTTGAAAGAAAATGTTATATTGAATCAAATAACGTGAAATCTTACCAGTAGAAGGGTAGGTAGTAGTAAAACAAAAATAATCTACAGCATTCAGAGAGAGCAGATGGTAGAGGAACTGTTCGCGTTCCTCTTCTGACCTTAGAAAGGCCAGTCGTTTGTACTGAGAACGTAAAATATTCTGATCCGACAACAACGTTCTGAGGTGCTTTGACAACTGCTTCTTTTCTAGTGCTAATCTAACCCAGGCCCTGGCCATGCCTATGCCAGTTTTCACATCGGCCATGCCTTGAATATTGCTAAAAAACGGAAAAATTAAGATTAGTGTCTTTTTAATAATTCAGGAAAAAGTTACAACATACCCCATGTCAAACAGTAACGAAGTTGGCAACTCGGGTAAATCAGTTCTAAGTTTGGCATCAGTGCAATGCGTCGACCAATTTTCTAAATTCGTAGAAAGCCGCGACATTTCATCTGGAATTACGCAATAAAAGTACTTCTCTACAATAGACTAATTAACGTACTCTATCTGGAGATATCCAACCATATACTGATCCGCCGGATGGTACCTTCACGTTCGACAGTCTAAGCCCGTCTACCACCTAGGAACAAACACAGCACCCAAAGTCAGGAGAAAAATTCTCTTGGGACGAGATTCGAGCCCGCGCAGCTCACGGCGACTGGCCAGTAGACCCATAATGTCTAACCACCGCGCTGCCTACTGAATTAGTATTCGATTCTGCTACTGCCTCATAGATGGCGCTGGGATCTTCAGTCCCTTTTTGGCATCCCTAATGCCTGTTTATCTTCATGTGTAACACATTACTCAATGCCTGAAGGTACTCGATCCAAAAAAGGCATTGAACTGACCAAAAAGGAATTGACAAATCTGACGTTAACTATAATGAAAATTACATTCATTTACTACAAGATGTGGCTCCAGTATGACAGTTTTGACACCCATGGCCGCAAATGCAAGTTTTTTTATTTAAATAGTGCATAATGACTGCGACGAATACCCAGTTCTTGAGAACGATGTCTGGTAGACGTCTCCGGGCGCTCCACTACACTTACACGAACTGTCTCGATATTTTCCGGAGTACGAACAGTTCGAACACGGCCCGACCTTGGCAAGTCTTTAACTTCACCTGTTTGTTCAAATTTCTCATTTAAGTAAAACGTTTTAAAATACGGACGCGTTGTGCGATCGTGTAGCGTTCCATGATGAATTGGACACATGTGTTTTAAATAACTACTACGACGCCACCTACTGAAATGCGTGTACCAAAAATATCGCGCAATTTAAATCGGTCTGAATACGGAATACGGTATATGGTTGGCGATCTTCACGTAGAATATGCCAATACTAAAACAGAAATAGTCACCTGTATTCAAATAGCTATCTCTCTTAGACACCGGCTGATACTTTTCTTGATAGGCCAGTAGATGTGACCATAGCGCAGATTTTCCACGCTTTTTCTGCAAACCGTGCGACCAGACTCTTTCCAGGAAGTCGCACAACGACGTCACCAGCGTGCTCTCTTCAACGGCACCATCCGAAGCGTTGCTATTCGATAAAGTCACACCTTCCGCGCCAAGTTTGGCCAACAACATTCTTTTTGTTTTCGCCTTGCAATCCTGCCAAAGTAGTACAAACGTCACAATGATAGTAGTTCAAATGCAACAAGAAACACGGATAGTAGTTCAAGTTACACACTGATAGTAGTTCAAATGCAACTAGGAACAAGGATAGTAGTTCAAATGACATACTGATATTAGTTAAATGCAACAAGGAACAAGGATAGTAGTTCAAATATCATAACAGTGGTAGTTCAAATGCAAAAAGGATAGATGTTCAAACGTCACCATAGTAGCTTAAAAATACAGGTACTAACTTTTAGCAGTTTCTCCACAAAGGTCCAGTTCGCCTGTGCGATGAGAGCCGGAGACATATCCTGAGTGCTTTTCGATTTGTCCCCATTTCCAGAAGGCAACTTAAACGACAACCCCTTCCTTAACGAACTCGCTCTAGGAATACTACCCTTGTTGACCACAGGGGTTTTGTTCAACACCTCTTTATCCAAAATAGGGAACTGTCTGGATACGATAGTTCTCGAGGTCATAATTTCTTTTGGACAAGACGACTCGAAATCTGGATATGCCATCCTTCTGTCGATGAAGGCTTGAGTGTCGTGGGCAGTTATACAAGGTTCATAGTTCAAAGACCTGTAATATAGAATTAATTTTCAACCAATCCGACCGTATTGTCAAGAAATATGAACAGACCTCATAAGATTTTCTCCTCCGTATCTCTTCTTGAGGATTTTTATCCTGTTGTCGAATATTGCAAGGTTACTATCATCTTCCCCCCAAGTAGAAATAATTTTATTATCAATCATTGTGGCGAACATTTGCGACTCAAGGAATCTCCACAGGAAGAGTCTATCTTGTTCTGGTTGGTCTGACAAGAAAGAGGCCTTGTCAAAATTCTGCATGGAATCCCTGTTGTTCAACCAATCTTCTTTATCCTGAAATCGATGCATATCTATAGCACGAACATACCATTTTCTCCTTTAAACAAATGTTTGCTCCTAAGATTTAGTATTCTTATAATTTCCCTACGATGGAAAACGGCGGCAACAGTTCCACAGGTGGCAAGGCTGGCACTTAAAGAAGGTGATCAACACGTATATAATTATTGCGTAAGTGTTTGGCATTGCCACAATACAAAAGCCCGTTTTGGTTTTTGAGCAGGCCCGACTCTCAATTGAATTTGGTATATTTTTGTAGAATTTGTTACCGACAACATGTTTTTGCGACCGGTCAGATCACAGACTATAGAGAAGATTCATAAATGCTAAATGTAACTAAGTTCGTTGCCTACCTGATTGGGAACGATGACGAAATTCTCGTACGACTGGAAAATATGAACAAATCTGTTTAGGAATATCTCCCTGATCGAGTTGTTGAACTTGAGATCCTCCACGTAGGAATCAACGGGTTGATTGGACTCGTTTGGGTCTAGAGCGACGCCGGTTCTTCTGACGATATCCGCAATCCTTTGTAGTGCCTCGCTCCTGGCCGATCCAGGTGGAGATGGCGGCCTTTCATTGTCTAAAGTGTCGTGAACGGACAGCTTTAGCCTGTTCTGTGGACGACCGGGTAGTGTGCAACTACGCGTCATTATTTCCTGGCACAAAAATAACCATGTAAAGTTTTGTTTGGGGTTACCTCAAGGATCAATATTCGGTCCAATTATATTCTTGCTCTATATCCATGATTCAATAAACTTAACATAAATGGTAAATTTGTAGTTTTTGCAAACGATATCACAATACACCTTATTATAAGAACAATTAGTTACAAAGTAGGAAAAAACACAGCCTTAAGCAGCTACTTTGACTTATTTCAATATATGTGTGCAGCCCACTAATATTCGCACTCGTGAAAGACAGGTTACTGTAGAGTAGGAGGAACAAATTTTAAATATCGTGGAAATCAATGTAGATATCAGCACTCGGGAATTAGGGCGCCGCGTAGGACTATCGTATAGAATCCTACGGGAAATTTTGCTTTATCCCTACCATGTACAACGAGTGCAGGCCTTGTTACCAGGAGACTATCCTCGCAGACTAACATTCTCTGTCAGTGGTTTTTGCACAAAAACGTTGAAAATCCGGATTTTTTTAAAAACGTTCTAGCGACGGACCAATGTACTTTTACGCGATATTAAATTTCCATAATACTCACACGTGGGCCCAAGAAAATCCTCATACCATTCGAGTTACCCACAAAGTTGTCAGAATACCTTAGCTTTCTAGCCAATAACCTACCAGAACTTTTGGAACAGACCTTAGACAACACGCCATTACATGGGGTTGTCCAAAACGGACGTAGGAAAGTAAACGCATATTAAAACAAGAAAGATTGATATTCAAATCAAGTTGGGTACTTTATTTTGAAGATTCATTTATACCATTAATGTATGAAAAATAATATCGCTCAAATGTTCACCACGACTGGATTTACAGACGTCCACGCGATGGTCGAAATTTTCAATGACATTTTGCAACATGGTCAGTTCTATGGCATTTATCTCGGCAATGATGTTGTTTTTGAGTTCTTGGAGGGTGGCTGGTTTGTTGACGTAGACTTTGCTTTTCAAATATCCCCATAAAAAGGAGTCCAAGGCAGTCAAATCGCACGATCTTGGTGGCCATGGCACATTTCCTCTGCGCGAAATCACGCGATCACCGAAGAAGGACTGCAATCGATGGATATTGACGTTGGTTGTGTGGCATGTTGCACCGTCTTGTTGGAAATAAACATCGTCCATATCCATTCCTTCAAGTTGCGGCAAAAAATAGTCCTCTATCATCACGTGATATCGCTCAGAATTGACGGTAACGGCGTCCCCGGCCGCATTTTCGAAAAAGTAAGGTCCGATGATGCCTTTTGACCACAATGCACACCACAAAGTCACTTTTTGAGGATGCATCGGCTGCTCTTGATACTCACGGGGATTTTCGTTCGCCCAGATGCGGCAGTTTTGCTTGTTTACCGTCCCATTCAAAGTGAAATGCGCTTCGTCGCTGAACATGATTTTTGATGAAAAATTGGCATCAATTTGGCGGTGTTCAAGTAGCCAATCTGAGAACGTTCGGCGCGAACAGCTCTTGCGTCATTTGGATCTTGTAGGCGTGTACATTCAAATCCTTGTGGAGAATGCGGAGCAAACTGGTTCTCGAAATGCCCAATTCTTGGGATCGACGCGTTGTTGATTGTTTCGGATCGTCTCTCACACTCTCCTTCACAACAGTAATATTTTCTGGTGTGCGAACGATCCTTGGCCGGCCAGAGCCTGGCAGATTTGCCACAGAACCTGTTGCCTCGAATTTACGCACCAGACGACCGATGGTTGTTTCGTTTGGGCGGTTGTTGCGACCGAAATGTTCACGAAGCGCGCGAAACGTGTTTTTTATTTTTGCACCATTTTTGTAGTGCTCTTGAATAACTTTAATGCGGTCTTCAATCGAATACGACTCCATAGCGATCAATGGTAAACATTCAAAAAACAAAATGACATGTCGGTGACAGAAAACAAAGATGGCGTCTATGTCAAATTGACGTTTACTTTCCTGCGACCCTATTGGACAATCTTTTACATTATCCAATTCGCTGGATCGGTCGAAATGCTCCTGATCCTCGGAAATGGCCAGCAAGATCTCCTTACCTCAATCCGATGGATTTCTGGTATTGGGGAGAACTTAAATGGATGGTTTATGGGGCTGCTCCAATAACAACTGAAGCACAACTTCGCGAAAAAAATGTAATGCGGCTGAAATAATAAATAGACAACTTCGAGGACCTAGAGTAAGACGAAACTGGGTTTGTCGTAATGAAGCTTGTGTGGAAAGTGGAGAACAACATTTTGAACACCTTCTTTAAATACAAAAGAAGTGCAGTGTGGGTTTTAAAAAGAAAAGTAATGTATGTATCAAAATTGTGTTCCATATTTATAAGTGGATTTTTTTAATACGTTCAATAAACTTTCACACACCAGGTGAAGTGCTGAGACAGTTAGTGGTAAGTCCGTTTTTTTTAATTGCTTGCATTTTACGAGTACAAATAATGAAATAATACCTAAGATCCAAAAATAACAAACTCCATCTTTATTTACACTGCGTTCCGTCGTAATTTGCGTCTGGCATTGCGGCGTTGTGTTTTATTTTACTTTAAAGTCGCTTTTCTCTAAAAAAATACCGTTTTGACCCCCATGTTATATGAAACTTTTTGCTTCTTTCAACCCCCTCTATCACCCATTTAAATAATGACTATCATAACGTTTACACCCTGTATAACTAAAAGCAAAATAGCAACATGCAGGTCTTATTTGTAAATCTTAAAATCATTACTGTCGGAGCATTGTTCATTTTAGAGACATCAACTTTTACTGAAAAAATTGATTACCTGTGCATTTCTGTTCTGTTCGGAAGTTGGCACATGAACGTTATATTTATCCAAAACAGACCAGATTTCTGCAGAAAATGCTTCAAGCTGTGGAAAGGCTGCAATTTCTTCAGGTAGCTGAACTTTGCATTTATCTATGTCCACGTAGCAGAGGTTTGCTTCTGATGCTACCTTCATGTTATCAGATGAGGTATACAGACCTAGTATAATCATTTTTGATTAAAAGCGTATAGTATATAGACTGTTTCCATCCTTCACATTAGATCACCATAAGGTTTATTTCTATACGAGCTAGTTTAACCAATCTGCAAGTAATTGAGGGTATTCATTTTTCTTTAGTCTGTCCTGTCAGTGAGACAAGAGGTATTTTTTCTGTAGAACCCGATACATACCAGGTCTATAAATTAAGTAATGAGACTGGCAACGTAGTGTCTGATGTGGCAAGACTGGAGACCTCGTATGTATCTACAAGATCGGCAGAAAATCATTTATTGAGTTCCCGAATTCAACGTGTTCGAGCGAGATAGAAAGAGAGAAACACGTAAGTCGGAGCAAGAGCGTGAATGAAGCGTCCACAGACTCGTTGTCTGTGCACTATTCATTCGCGCTCTTGCTCTAACACACATGTTTCTCTTTCTATCTCACTCGCACATATTGAATACGGGTCTTCAATGATTTTCTGCCGATCCTGTATATTGAAACGTATAAATAGAAGGTCAGTCTGTGGGTTAATTTTCAGATGTTATGGTTGTCTCGAAGGATGGAAATAAAGACGTATGAGATTGTATTTACCCATCAAAAAAGGTACTGGGGCGTCTAAGAAATGATGCAATGAGGCGGGCAGTATTGGCACATACACGTGAGGCCACGTAAATGGGAACAGTAATGAAGTTACACATTCTGCCACCACCATCAGTCGATGAGGATCTAAATGAGAACGTGATGGTATTAGTTTAGAAATAGTATTGTTAATTGGTTCGTCCATTTACAATAGGAACAATCAGTTACAAGATCTGTTGTGTGACGCATGAAAAATCTTTAGACATAGCTGTTTGTGAACCAAGCATAGAAAATGTTAGAATAAAGCAAAAATTTCAAATAATGTCTTGCAAATTAATCGTTCCCTATGAATATGGATTGTATGACTAACGCCCAGTTTGGCAATCGCTGGTAAACTTTCAAATTTGGTGTTCTCGAATCTCGCATCCGACACTGGAATTTTATCTTTGTGATTCTTGTCACTTTTGACGAGTTATTTGATTTTGAATAAGAAAGTAATTTCACGTAGCTCATATTCCTAATACTAGTTTAACATTACACACTTTGGAAAACTACAACAATTACACAACATACAGATATTTAGAAAAACAAAAATTACATTTGTACGAATTTTCACTGTTCATGAAATATTAATTTAATTTTCTTTTAAGCATTCTTAAATTACAACTAGACTCTATATCATTATTTAATTCAAGTAATCCTTTCTGAAATTTTGTAAATGCAAATCTATATTTCTTCTTGTATAATAATTGTGGCAATGATTATTCAATTCTATGTATTCTTCTAAATATTGTGGCAAAAGATAATTTTTTATTTTAAATATGTATAAAAATAAGTACCATATACGATATGCATTTTTTTATATTCAACCACTGGAATTCTTGTAACAAAGATTTTATTTTGATGTACTTATTTTCATTCAATATTCACTTCATTGGAAGTGAGCAAGATAGTTGAACAATATAGTAAATGCGGTAGAATAATTGTATTATAAACTTTTTTTTTGTATATGTATTGAGGCTATGAGAAGCCCTATGGAAGTAATTTGTTTTTTTTTGTAATTTTTGAAATAATCTATTCATAGTGATCATCAAACTTTAATTTATTATCGATATATACATATACGCAAATATTTAATTGATTCAACATTTTCAATTATTTCACCATTTATCCTAACAGTGATAATATTTTTATCTAAGTATTTCCCTATAAGCATACATCTTGTTTTAGAAGCATTAAATTTTAGTTTATATTTAACCAATTTATGATTTTTAGCATTTTTAAAGCAGTATTAATGTATCATCTGCAAATATTGTCCATACATCTCCTCCAGTCCACTAAAACCATTTGTATTGTCGTTTCAGTCGAGTGTTTCTTCCTGAATCCAGCTTGAAATTTGGTTAAAATTTCTCATGATGAATTCGATGATCTGTTCGTAAATAATTTCTTCAAATACGTTTTCAACATCTGGCAGAATATTTTTGGCCGCATATTGTCATCTGCCGTTCGTTTTGTCGAACAGTGCAAAAATCTCGAACGCGTCATTCATTGTCGAATGAAAAATGTCGCTTGCGAGACTCAAGAAATCACTTTATGAGTTTTGCGTGATATTTTAGCACATGGTTAACCAAATTGTTGATCTGGCAACGCTGCTTCTACATGTGAACTATCGTGTTCTGTGCATTGACGCTCGATGTTTGTGCTTTCCGTGTCACTGTCAAGAATAACATTTTAGGCATTTCTATTAAACAATTATTTTGTCAACACGCAGATGGACTTCAGGTTAAAGTCAACTACTGTTTTAGGACAAACCTGACACTGAAAAACGCGTCTTGAGAGTTAACTTGGTAGTAAAATCACATTTAACATGCAATTGAAAAATCGGGAATAAATAGTTAGCAACACCTAAATAACTACTTAGCATTCTCGTTATATTTTCCTTCACCTTTGAGGGCCGCATGATAACATACGTGATGAAACTTGAGATGAACAATTTGTACGCCAACTTCCAGAATTTTCATATCTGACAAGTGTCAGTATGCTGGGTTGCCAAATGCTTATTCAGGATAAGCAAAGCGGTAGTGTAGATGTGACAACCTACGCTGTCATTTTATGTCAAATTTCACATCGTATCACGCGGCCGTAAAATCCAAACTAAATTATATACTGTGAGGTTTTGCCTGGTCATAGAATACATGAGATCGATATAATGAAGCTCATAATAATAACAATTTGCACGGTAATTGCAACGCGGATAAAACGTGTTGTTGACCACGAATCCGGCGTCGATTTAACGCTACGCCCTACGGGAGATCAAACATCAAACTACACCCATTTTCTATCTCGAATTCAGTACTACGACATTTCATGACTTTTTTAAATACTGCTGCGCACCTGTAAACATTAATTTCTTAGGTAAATCGGGTGAGTAAAATCTAAAGTTCGACCTCACAGCAGTGCAAAGACAATTAAACCCTTTTTCATAAGATTTTGTTAGGTTATCTTTGTGCGATTTCTCACATAAACTAGTAAATAGCACTTTGTGCTATCTTAATTCATTTCCTCACATATTCTTGGACACTGTATATCTATAACGTTCCGCATGAATACCTGAACTCCTGAGAAGCACCTGGCATTCAAGCAGCAAGCATGTGAACAGCTGAACGACGATATCGACCCCCAGCCAGACGAACACCATCCGCATGGGATAATCCAAATGGGGCAGTTCCAAGGGAGGGGAAGGGTTCTGGATTATGGCACTAGCGGGGGGCAATTGGGGATCTGAGGGGGGCAGGTGGATAAGGAGGCTTTTGCCAGGACCAGGCAATTCAACCTGAAACAATGGTTGAGTAGTCAAGTTAATTCAGAATTTGAATAAATTTGCTGAACTTCAAAAATGAGAGAGATAAATATTTATATTACACACAAAGCGGGCGCAGTGGATTTTCCGTAACTAAGAAAGTTTTAGAAAACACACAAAAACGTAACGTAAAAAAATCGTAATTTATAACTTTGAACACAACCTGTCTTCAGAAAGGACGACATATAAATAACCCGTCACGCACAGCTAATTTTCTCACACAGCAAATATCACTGATTTTATACACGCATGATCATACAGCTGCGATCTACCACTTCCTTCTCTGAGATGAAAACTACAGACAACCAACAATGCGTGTAGTTGAGCCATTCCTCCACAGATGGACGCACACAACGATCCTAGTGAGCAAACGTGGAATGACTGTTAGCACTCTAAAACTACCTAGTCTTATTAATAATAATTAATAATATTATTACTGTTATTAGCTTAACTATCTTCAGGTGGAACACGTTAATCAATGATAGTATTGAAGATAGTTACAGAAAACTGTCGCGAATCTGTAATCTCGACCAAAACCTGCTTTTTGGGTAAATCAGGTTCATAGATTGAGAATCTGATATCATTTTTTCGCTGAGATTCTCGACAGGTCTCGTTATCTTATTCTAAACAGAGTTCAGCGGCACGTTATCATTTTTGACGCCTTATTCTAAATCAGAATCTAAAATTACCTCTGTAGAAATTAAATTCACTTGTAGCTACAAAAACAAAAAATAGAAATGTTTGCTTTGAAAAACGTTCAAAAAAATTTATTGTTAAGTAGAATTTCCAAAAACTCTTTTGTGTAAAATGAGAAAATTCTTTCAATCACCCATTCCATTTAACACCTGCTATTAAAAAAGGCAAATCACTTCTTCAATATTACGCAAACTGTACATACAGAGCATATATGCTAAGACAATCATTCACCAATTGTACTAATTATCATTCTTAACAATACACATAATTCATTTATATCATTACCCAATCCATTGATGTTGTTAGTTTGTTGTAATTACTGATTGTGATAACGCTGATAAACAGCTGAAGGTCATTGCATCTGATCATAAAAGTGAATATTAAAGCAATCCACTTGAAAGTGAAACTATAGGTTTCTGATATGAAATTGAATTTATTCAAATGTGTGATGATTGCATATCAAAGAATATTGAATTGAACAGATACTTACCTCATATAGTATATTGAATACATAGCTTTCTAAACTGAGACCACTAGCTGTAGACTTTTTTGGCACACATCTGAAAGATATTTTGATTCAGATACTTAAATGTACCAATAAAAAAAATTACTAAAGCAAAGCAAAGCTCCTTAATGCTATGTTGCATTGAATTGGCTCCAAGCTTTATGGAACGAATTGAATTGTGATCATCTGAACAGTCTTCTTTAGCAAAAATACTCTGACATGAAGCAAACCATACCTATACAAGTTCTCTAAGAATATTTTAGCTGCCTGCACGTATGCGACCTGGGTGATAATCCCTATACTCTTTGACACAAATAGCTTATCCTTGGATATGTCATAATATGTAAGAGCTGCACCACTCTGGTTTTGGGCAAGCTTGAAATGTCTGGGCAGTGACCGTGAGTGAGGTCCCTGAACTTGGACATTATGTAAATTTCTTGGCTTTAACCCACTAGAGAGCTCAGTAATGTACATTGCCTGGAAGTGGAAATTATAACCATATTAGGCAATAGACAAATTTTACAAACAGAAATAAGTAATGCAGTAAGAATCACTTGAGTAATCTAATAGTTCTTTTATTTTTGAGTTTCTGAACATAGGTGAATATCTATATTAATACATTACCTGTAAAGTCTGCATTGCAGAACAAATATCCCTATTTCGTACTTCCTCATAGAAAATGAGACTGAAACCATAACATCTCTTTCCATCTTCTCTAGTTATTACAAATGAGTGAAAATTAGGAGCTTGTGTTACAGAATGTTTCTGGGTTCTGAATTTCAGTCCACATGGAAGAGAGAACTAAAAAGATAAGGAAACATCAACCTGGCAATGAGCTGATCTCTTACAATATAATGTACTTTCTAGGAATAATACCCATACAGTGTTCCTTCCTAACAAATATTTACAGTGCACAGTAATTTTGCACACTAAGCAATAGTCCTAGATAGAAGCTAAAAAAAATTTAATTTAAAATGTTGATGGAAATAGGAGCTTACCAAGCATACAGCTGATTCATCAAAAGGGTTGTATTGCACATTTTCTGGATAGTGGGCAAGAACTTTGCCTTTGTAGGCTCTTTCCAAAGGGGAAACATGAAGATTATCCTCTGAAAGAATGATAGATTGTGTAACAAACTAATGAAATGTTCCAAACTAAAGTGTGTCTTTAGTAAAGGATCATGCTTCCTCTATTTTTACAAAAACAGTTTTTAAATTGTTGGACATATGTTGAAAAATACAAGAAAAGGGAAGCTATTCTGTTCAAGTAAATTGTTTACCTACCAGCATATTTGTCAGGTTCTAAACCTGAGCTATAGTCCAGACCACTGATAAAGAAATAGTCGACGAATTTGCTCATTTTCAGCTGCCAAGTCTTCTTAAATGTGATTGGAATCACGTAAAGCACATTTTTAATTCATTATCCGTCATGTTCGCGCTTTCAAATGATTGCAAAAATAGAAAACGTAAACGTCAAAATAATTAAAATCTCAGCCACCATATTTCTTTGTTTTGACATTTATCATAGTCTTTTTTCCTCCCTTCCTTTCTTCTTCTCATCTTCTTACACATAAGCATCTAGTTCGGGGCAATATGAGTTCAGCAGTCATGGTGGACTGAGTGTAGGTGTTAATACTGAGGTACACAATACCTTTACGAACCTCTCCTTACCTTAATGAATTGAGTTGATTTAGGCAAAATGCATCTTCTAAGTTGGAATCTCTATATCTAACCGTAGAACTATGACAACCCTATATAAACGACTGAGTAATAAGGTGGTTCTGTTAGCACCATCTAGCGAGCGATAGCTCAAGGACAAGAGCACATCGCTATACAATAAATCACCTAGTAGATAGAGTGCGAGCCAAATAAATGCCATCGATTTAATTTTTCCGTCATTGTCTTACCCACACAGCACACATATTTCGGTATTCTCTAGCTTGTATACTTGTATTCGTGTGCTTGTACTTGTGCCTGTCAGAAAAACTCTAATAAGCTCCAACAAAAGGTGTGGTGTAGAAAAACTGGTCAACATGTTCGCATTTCCAGCTCCAAATGTTGGTGTTTGAGCAGCAAGCGTAACGTGTATTGTTTCAAGTCAAAAATCGCGAAGAAAGAAATGTTTAAATGTCTCAAAGTATAGGTTATGCTCCATTGAAGATTGGCTTCGGGTGGCAGCAGGGTGCCCCAGAGTGCGTTTGAGATGAGCAGCTGGGCGGCCAGAATGCATAGGCGGGCTGCCACTTTCGGGAACGTGGTCACGTCTTGTGGGCATCCCTCGGGACCCTATCCGCGCAGACTGGAGAAAGTCAAGTTTGGAGTGCCCCTTGAAGAAGTCTGCAAGAATGATATCCCTGGACCACTTTTGGTGAGTATTTTCAATACTTTCTGTTATAAAACACGGCAAGCAATTGTTTTAGCCTTACAAAACTGATTATTATACAATAATTTAAATATATGCTAATGTTCTAATGTGTATCACATCTGGTATACTTTTTTGTGTGCCACATTTAATGCAATTTCCTTAGAGGAAAGCATTAAGCATAACTAATTCAAATAATGATAGGCCTAACACCTGGCCTTATATAACCAAGAAATAGGCCAAACATCTCTCTTGGATCAAGTTTTAATATTGATTTAAAATCTAAAAGCTGCCTGAATCAAAATTATCCAACATTATTTTAATAAATAATACATTGTTGAAGTTGTTTTTGAAAAGTTTAAACTGTAATATATTATATTATTCACATTAATAATCAAATCTAATACAGTTAAATCAATTTAAAAGGTACAAGAATACAACAAATAGGTACCTCAGTATGAGTTGGTTAATTTAGTTAAAATCTGTATCGTACATTTAATGAGATAAAGTTATATTTTATATTTAAATATAATACTGTTAAACATTGTTTATATATATTTTTTTTGTTATTATGGTCTTATGAAAATGACATATTTCATATTCTTTTTTGCCATGAGATAACAAGTTATAAATGGAATAAGAAAATCTAAATATACCTGGTGTCACAGAAAAAATAGAACAAGTGTCCTAAATACTACAAATAACCTTTCCAAGCATCATGGATGCTAATAAGGGTTTTTAATGTTTTGTTTTCTATTATATAACTTGATAGTAGGTGCCATCACAGATTTTAGAACTAAGATAAATCTTATTTCAAACTATAATCATGCATTTTGTATCAGGCAAACAATATTATTTAATACATGCATATTTGATAACTCTACATGGTAACATTGAAATACTTCATAGTCAGTTATCAGTGACTGACAAAGCATTGTGTTAATTCCTAAAAAAAATGTTATTGCAGAGTTATTGCTCGGAATCAAGTTATTCAATCTAAGTTTTCTCAAATGTTGAATGTCATTTGATTTTAAAAATTCCGACTGCATTTGGAATTACAAAAGGTGGTGGATGTACTTTGGTTTTAGAAAATGGAGGTTGCATTTTGCTTTTAGAAAAACGAATGTCTGATTTTAAAAAAATGGTGAAAGCAAACTGATTATTCTACTTTTCCAACAATGGTGAATGCAATCCGATTTTCCAAAAATTGTGTATGTAATTGGTGGAAGAATTCTGCTGTTTAAAAAATGGTGACCTTTTTTCAAAAAATAGTGGATGCATATTAATTTTTCAAAAAATGGTAGATGCAGTCTGATTTTTGAAAGTTAATGGATGCTATATAAGTTTTTAAGAATGTTGAATGTAGTATGTGTTTCGTTTACTTCCCTCGCCTACTGGCGGGGAAGAATATCGCGAAAATTTTCCAAAATGAGATTTTATGTTTTTGGATGTTACATGTAAAAAAACTTGTGGGTGGTAGTACATTTATACGCTACCAACATTGGTAATTATACCTATTAGACATATTTCACACATCATAGGTTTCTCTGGACATTAGTTCTGAAAACACGCGGATTTCGTACCTATCAGCCGCGCCTGCCGCTGGCGTCGTGATGACTGATCTGGTATGTAATCACACGTATTTTTGCGCAACTGCATAGTGTTTTCTATGCTCTGACCGCGCTACCACGGTGGCACGTCTACCCGAGTTAGGTATCGGTGAAAGGCGACGTTTCCAGATGTAGAGTATACTAATTATATGGGCTTCTTTGACTGACTTTTTTCTCAGAGTTTGTGTTGAACATATTCTTTTAAGTACTGATGAGGGCGTTGCGTGGAAAGTAAAGAGTCCAACTACTCGACGCCATTTTTTTACTGAAAAACTCTTGGATGCATTTTAAGCTGTAGAAACAAAGATAAAAGTTTAATAATCAAGCTACAGGATGCTGATTGAACTGAATCACAAAATCGTCCTACACGCATACCAGACACCTGTAGAATTAGATTATTGTTCAAATGGATAATGTAAGTAACAATTAAGCACAATCTACTTTTCCGCATCAATGAATAAATAATAATGAATAATTGTGACTAGCAATTGAGTCTATTTGCATATTATATGACAGTTTTAAGGTGGGTTCAGAAAGCGCGTGAGATCATTGAACTCGATTCGAATCATCAGCTCATTGAAGCTTGATGTGGATTCATTGTTACAATATGTGGATGCAGGTGTGAACAGTGCTGGAACTGATGAATGATGTGTCTCCACACAACAGTATATACAGGGTGGCGCATCGAAAACGAAACAGACGCATTTATTGGCAGCTCAGTTTGGCAAAAAATCACGTTAGCACGTGCAGCCCCCTAGGCGGGGGTGACACCACCCCCAAAATCTTAAATGAAAAGGGGGGTCGAGTGATACCTTATTTCAAAGGTCTTTCAATTCCCTCTATAATGATATAAAATTAATATACTTCAGTTCAGTAGTTTTGAGGATTTATTGATTTAAAGCTTAAATAAAACGAATACATGATCATTAGTGGAGATCAATACATTTGGCAGCAAAGTAATTAAAAAATGAAGAATGAACTGACCCGTTAGGCTAGTAAATGTTGAAAATGGCCACCATGACTCTCCACATTTTGCAATTCTTTGTCAAAGGTCTTCTAATGATGTTGGCTGAGTAGTATAGATTTTGCTTTTTAAATCACCCCACATAAAGGAATCCAAAGGTGATAAATCTGGCGATTTTGGGGGCCATTCAATGGCACCTATTCTACCAATCCATCGATCTGGAAACGTCTGATCTAAATATTGTCGAACACGTAATGTATAATGTGGTGGGGCACCATCCTGTTGGAACATCAACCTATTCGCAATGTACCGCAGATCATTCTGATTTCCAATTATGGCTGTTAATGCAGGATCTACGGCGTCTTCCAGTAATTCCAAATACATTTCACCAGTACAAATTTCCAATTAAGAAAAAAGGGCCAACTAAATGATCGCCTAAAATACCAGCCCAAACATTTAATTTTTGTGGCTGCTGTGTATGAACCTCATGATAAATTCTGGGATTAAAATCGGACCAATATCGGTAGTTATGACGATTTACTACGCCATTTAAGAAAAAGGAACATTCGTCGGAAAAGCAAGTGTTGAATAGAAAATGTTCATCGTTTATAATTCGTTCACTCATATCTTCACAAAATTGTAATCGCCGATCAAAATCGTCTTCATTAAGTTCTTGTACCAGGTGAATTTTATACGGATGGCCTTTAGAATCCGTTGGACAGTACGTCGACCAGCACCACACACAGTCTCCAATTTGCGGGTACTTAACGTAGGATCTACATAAACTTGCCCTAAAACCCCCACTTCTATTGCTTCGTTCCGTATGGGATTTTCAATGTTGCGTTTTTTATTGGCGACTGACCCAGTTTCCCGAAATTTAGCTACAAGTTCTAGAACACATTTTCGATGCACGTTACTGTTCTCATGTCGCTCATTAAATATTTCTGCTGTTCTATTAGCGCACTGATTATTTCCGAAAAATATTTCGATAATTTCAACTCTTTCTGCTGTGGAATATACCATGGTTAATTTATGTAATAAAACGTTACAAGTTATTTTAGCAACAAAGTTTGGTCAAATCAATCGCAAACTATGTACTAAATTCATATTTAAAATAAGTACGAGATATTTCCTTATCTTTCTTCAAGAAATAACTTTTTTGCCACAAAAAAATGCTCCAATAGCTATTTTCAACAACAAAATGATAAACAAACCATGGGCGTAGTGAAGAAAAGCATTTACTTAAGTAAATTCTTTTAGTCAAATTTCTTCTGAAAGTAGTACAAACTAATCTGATGTACCTATTAGAGTCTACTTTAAGATTTAAATCAATAAATCTTCAATACTACTGAACTGAAGTACATTTATTTTATATCATTATAAAGGGAATTGAAAGACCTTCAAAATAAGGTATCACTCGACCCCCCTTTCCATTTAAGATTTTAGGGTTGGTGTCACCCCCGCTCAGGGGGCTACACGTGTTAGCGTGATTTTTTGCCAAACTGAGCTGCCAGTAAAATGCGTCTGTTTCGTTTTCGATGCGCCACCCTGTATAATGTATAATACTACTCAGCATTGCAACTTCCGACGATATGATAGGTTCGCGCATCGCATAGTATTTTTGTTGTTGTTGAAGATTTATTCTACAATGTCAATTTTGTATAATGATTCGTTTACATATTTTTCTTCAATCCATTTTCTGTAATTTTACATTCTTGTCTATTAAAATTAAAATTACGTCACTATGTATTTTGATTATCCATAAAGTGGTTTTTTAATTTCACCTTAAACATTTTTAAACTCAAACTCTGTTTAATATCATTATTCAATGTATTAAATTCAAATATTCCTTTTTGAAAATAGATTTACTTAGTTATGCTACTATTACAATTTTGCAGATGAAAATCTATACTGCCACTAGTTTCGTAGTTATGATAATGTCTATTTAATTTTGTGAAGTTCTCTAATTGTGGTGGTAATAAATGATTTTTTAATTTGAATATGAAAACGAGAACTAAATAATATATGAAATTTTTCACATCCAACCACTGCAGTTCTTCTAACCTAGACTTAATCCTAGCATATTTGTTTCTATTTAAAATGGTTCTCATAGCTTTATTTTGTAGAATTTGCAATTTTGAAAATATGTTTTCATTTGCTGTAAACAAGATGGTTGGACAATATAAAAAATGGGGAAGAATTATAGTGTTATACACAATTTTTTTGGAATACATACTAAGTTTATGGGAAACTATAGAAGTAATTTATCTTTATCGATATTTTTGAAATAATGTTATTCATAATGTTCGTGAAACGGTAGTTTACTATCCACATATATACCAAGATATTTAAATGACTCGACCACTTCAATTTTTTCATCATTAATCATGAGCCTAATTAATTGTATTGTCACCTAAATGTTTCCCTATTGACATACATTTTGTTTTATTAGTGTTTAATGTAAGTTTATTGACATTTAACCAATTCATAATTTTTTCAATATCACTATTTAACATATTTAACAGTTCTAAAGCAGTGTCCAAATGTTTATGTGCTATATATATATATATATATATATATATATATATATAAGTGTATCGTCCGTAAATATTTGAATTTTGCACTGTTTTAAAATGTCAGAGATATCATTTATATAAGTAATAAATAGTAACGACCCTAATTTACTCCCCTGTGGCACCCCTACTGATATATTTTGAACACTTGACATAGTATTTCCAACTTCTATTTACTAAAAATTATGTAAAATGTGTAATACTGATCCTTTAAAGCCATAGTGACGCAATTTTTGCCTATCTGTAGTCTCAAATGCCCTTTTGAAGTCAAAAAATATTGTTACAATATATTCTTTCTCATCTATACTTCTTCTCCAGTCTTCCACCACCATTTGTATTTCCGTTTCTATGGAATATTTTTTTCTAAATCCAGCTTGTTTTTTTATCAAAATTTTGGTTGCTTCAATGAATTCTATGATTTGTTCGTATCCCTTCGAACAGCTTCTCGACATCGAGCAAGACATTCATAATTGGTCGCATATTTGTATACAGCTGAGAATTTTGAACTTTTGGCACAGGAGTAATGGTGTAACACTTTAATTTTGACGGGATTTTTATTAGATTTCAATTTTGAGATACCTTTTCTTAGATTATTGATGTTAATTGTCCTAAATTGCTTCATTGATGAATTCTGACATACTTGTAATGGACATAACTCTGGATCACCGTCATCAATCGTCTTCACTATTTGATTTACACTTTCCGTAAAATAAGTGTTCATTCTTTCTGCTTTAATTAATTTGTCTGTCACTATCCCATCGTCGAAACGCATTTTAGATAATTCAGTCTTCCTATAAGGAGAAACAATATTTTTTAACGTTTTCCACATCATTTTAGAAGTATTTTTATTGCTATCAATCATAGTATTTTTTCTTTTCCCTCCTGAGAACTGCTATACACTCATTTCTTGATTTCGTATATTGTTTCCAATCATTTTAACTTTGGGTTACTGAACATTTTCTGTAGCTGTTATCGCGTTTCAATTTAGACTCCTGGACTATCCGGCAGCGTGGCAGTGAAAGAACGACACTCATGGAGCAGGCAGTGACGACGGTCAATGAAGAAAGATACACGTGTCGAAGATATTTCTAAGGGTGAATGTGCGAGTAAATCTATGATGTGAGAAATACGACCCCTAAGACTTTTCAACCCCTCCAAAAATCTTTCTGAAAATAATAAGAAGCCTCTAAAACAGTAAAAAACGAAGTTTGAGCGAGCAAGATTTTTCGTCCTTGGCTTAGGCCCGTATCGTCAGTCGTCCCTACAATTGTAGGGCGCGTTTATGGCCTCCTTGATTGTCATACTCCTTTCTCTCCTTCAAAAATTTCTAGATTACACTTGTCCCGTGTCACCGTCAGCGCTCTCCTATTGTGAAGATATGTTTTCTTTTTAAATTGTAGGAAATTTCAGGCTGATAAAACATGATTTAACTCAAAAGCAAGCACAATTTGATGCAAATAGATGTTTGTGACATAATCTCAAAATAGAGTTCTGACACGGAGAAGTAGAAAACTATGACAATCAAGGAGGCCATAAAGGCGCCCTACAATTGTAGGGACGACTGACGATACGGGCCTTAGTAGTAACCTTGAAAATTTCATCAAAATACGAGCGGTACTTCCCCAGGATTAGCGGCAGACAGACTGCCGGAAATGAGGACATAGGTTTTCGTGATGTAATGTCAGAGAATACCCAACGTAATATCTCATGTTCTAAATATTTCCTGATTACAATATTTCCTTGTCAGTAGCGGAGGAGTAAACTTGAATTTTTGAAATAATGAAAAAGATGTTACAGCGAACAGATTTGAATAACAGAGACTTGTCAGATTGATGTCAAAAGCCCGAGACATTCCAGAGCAACTAGATATGTATTGCTAAATTGCATTCTTCAATTACATTAATTTTCTCGGACAATAGAACGTTTTTTATTTTTTTACGCAAAAATGGCGCATCGAAGGAAAGCAACTCAAGAGAGATCACTTGTTTTAAATTGAACAGGGAATTCAAAAATAATTTTTATTTGGCAAAAAACTATTGGCGTACCATTTTTCTCTTAAAAAATATAGAAGTCAATACCCGTACGCACGCCACTGTTAAAGCTAAAAATTATTTTGTCATTTAAAAATATGCAACTTTATTAACTTCCACTACGTACTAAATATCAGTGAAATATCTGAAGCAGTTCTGAAAATATTGATTAATTTCCATTTCTTTCCTAAAACTTCAACACCCCGAGTTTTTGTAAGGAAACATTTTTGGACCATAGTGTATAAAGCAAACTAACATCAATTTTTCATGTAGATTCACACCCTTAAATATTCTGTTTCCGAACGCATGTAACGCTAAAATTGTTGCATTCTGTAATAATTTACGAACGCAGCCTTGGTAATCTTAAATGTCTTTCCTTTACTGCAAGGAGTACAATTTTTTCAATACATACATCAAAAGTTTGACTATGGTATGGCTCGTTTTCTAGGTACTCATATTAAAGCTGAACAAAGAAGCCCCTTACCGCAAAGATGTGTTCAGGGCACCGGGTCACCAAGGCGCCATGAAAAAGCTGATCCATTTCCTTCAAACAGGTAGATTGGTCAACATGGACAATTTTAGCGTCTACACCATTGCCAGTGTGCTTAAGAAATTCCTCAGGAAACTGCCAGGTGGCGTTTTCGGCAGAGACGTCGAGAACAAGTTCTTCGACGTCATCGAAATGGCCGATTTGCAAGCTCAGCAAGAGGAAATACATAAGTAAGAGAATTATTCAATTCCATCTACTATCAGAATCTATGAGTAGAAGTATGAGTGATCTGTTGTATAAATTTTATTCGCCAAATGCCCGCTTTGCTGTTTTTACAGCTGACCATTCATCAGCTAAGAATTTCTGTAACGTTTTGGCACGATTGCGGCTCAATTTCACCAATAACTTGAAGAAGGTTTTGTATCAGGATCCCAATTTTTGAAAACGCAGAATCTTTTTTTAGTAGCCACTCAGGCCAAATTTAAACCCCGAGGTACCTAATGGGCCACTGTTTTTCCCCACAGAATCATCACATCTCTGCCGATCTACACCCAGCGCCTTCTAGTGTTATTATTCGGCACTTTCCGCGTGATAGCCTCCAATAGCGAATCAGCTCACACTGGGATGACCAGCGAAGCCCTAGGCGTCAGTGTAGCCCCCAGTTTCTTCCATTCCTGCGTTAGCGACGGTAAGACTGCCAAGATGGAGGACGTTATGAAGTTCAAGGTCAGTATTGAATTTGTTGGAATCGTTTTTAATTAGTCTGCACTACAGTTATATTAATACACTGCCTCTTATATTTGCGTTCTGTCGTTGTTAAAAACTTTGGTGCGTGACGAAAGAGGTACATGTCAACACCTATATGCCTTTTAGCCTCTCTCTCTCAAGCTAGGGCTCTGAACCCCTATTTCTGAAAACAAATTCGTAGAATGAAACAGTGGGCATGGCTCTCTTCCTAGAAGAATGATATCAAGTTCTGACAGCTGTTGACATTTGCCAAACAAAATAATATGTTCAATCACAAAGTTAACTTCGTCTTTAGAATTGAGACTGTTGTAGGACGGCGAGTCCTCCGCATTTTTTCCTCTGCAGATTCCTTGGGGAGTGATCTTCTATGTGTTCAGGAATACAGTTTTCGGAAAGGTAACAGGTCCACGCCCACCATGTCTCAATTATTCTAGTCCCTCTTCCAATAATTAATTCCCTGTTCTGATGTATAAGCCTCAGGATCACAGTCTTACCAGCTGATCGGGCCTGTAATTTTCTGGGTAGACCTTAGTGTCGGAAATCCGAGTAGGGTGACCTCTTTAAGACTAGGCAAGCACTCAAGAGCAATGACACATTCCTGGACTAGAGATGAATCTGCTTCCAGGGCTGCTTGAATTTATGCAGACTTGTATCTCATTGCCTCGCAGATGCTGGATAGTGATAGTAAAGATAGGGACAATGAATCATTGCTAATTTCATCAGACTATTTCACTGATAAAAAATGTGAAAACTAATCTAGATCTGCTTAACTTGATGTTAAATAACTTTATCTATTCCAATGAATATTTTTGATATCAGTAAAATAATAGATGTTTATGTTCAGATCAAATAGATAATAGAGTCGCAGTCGACGAAAATATTATAATCCAGGCAGTCATAAAGATACGAACAACGACAGAATACACACACACACATACACAGATTTGTTTACAGCATGACACAGTAATCTAACAGAGGTTTATTACTTATTTGTATTTTAAACTGTAAACCGAAAGCACCTTGCGATAGCACAGGCAGCTATTAATTTTTAGTACGAAATTAACCAGATTTTTTTTGCTTTTGCTGTACAATGCTTACTGGTTTGACCAGGCTGAAGTGAACGTAAGTGAATTTTTAACTGGTAGATGTGTTTTATTACATATCATCCACATGGTTACATGTCATCCACCTATCACTTGTCACAACATTCACTTGTTTCACCTCATATTCGACGACTTTTACTCTGTGCATGGCCTTCTATCATTTTTCAGGTAGGTTAAGGATACAAGTGTTTTGTATGTTCGTCATAAAGGGAACATCCGGAAATTATATCCTCCAGACTGCTTGGGGTTTTGAGGTTTCAATTTCTTTTTTTTTGTTTTATTTTTTATTAATTTAATAATAATAGCGCAGGGTTGAGCACGAGGCGTTTTGTAATTTAGACTTTTTTCAATATAACAAATGAGGAAGAATGATAGTGTTGTACACAATTTTTTTAGAATAAACGCTTAGGCTATGCAAAATTCTATAAAAGTAATTTATTTTCTTGGATATGTTTGAAATAATATATTCATAGTACCCTTCAAGTTTTAATTTACTGTCTACGTATACACCCAAATATTTAAATGATTCGATTGACACAATTTTTTCATGATTAATTGTAAGATTTATCGCATTTTGATCTAAAGATTTTCCTTCTAGCAGATATTTTGTTTTGCTTGTGTTTAGTTTAAGTTTATTTACATTTAACCAATTTATTACGTTTTTCATATCATTATTTAACAGCTCTGTTACAGTTTCAAAGTTTGGCAAAAAATCACGTTGACACGTGCAGCCCCCCCCGTGATACCTTATTTTAAAGGTCTTTCAATTCCCTTTATAATGATGTAAAATACATGAGCTTCAGTTCAGTAGTTTTGAAGATTTGTGGATTTAAATCTTAAAGTAGACTTTAATAGGTACATCAGATTAGTTTGTACTACTTTCAGAAGAAATTTGACTAAAAGAATTTACTTAATAAGTAAATGCTTTTCTTCACTACGCCGTTGGTTTGTTTATCATTTTGGTTGTTGAAAATAGGTATTGGAGCGTTTTTTTGTGGCAAAAAAGTTATTTCTTGAAGAAAGATAAGGAAATATCTCGTACTTATTTGAAATAGGAATTTAGTACATAGTTTGCGATTGATTTGACCAAACTTTGTTGCTAAAATAACTTGCAACGCTTTATTACATAAATTAACCATGGTATATTCCACAGCAGAAAGAGTTGAAATTATCGAAATATTTTTCTGAAATAATCAGTGCGCTAATAGAACAGCAGAAATATTTAATGAGCGACATAAGAACAGTAACGTGCATCGAAAATTTGTTCTAGAACTTGTAGCCAAATTTCGGGAAACTGGGTCAGTCGCCAATAAAAAACCCAACATTGAAAATCCCATAAGGAACGAAGCAGTAGAAGTGAGGTTTTTAGGGCAAGTTTATGTAGATCCTACGTTAAGTACCCGCAAATTGGAGACTGTGTGTGGTGTTAGTCTACGTACTGTCCAACGGATTCTGAAGGCCCATGGTTTTCATCCGTATAAAATTCACCTGGTACAAGAACTTAATGAAGAACGAATTATAAAACATGAACATTTTCTGTTCAACACTTGCTTTTCCGACGAATGTTCCTTTTTCTTAAATGGCGTAGTAAATCGTCATAACTGCCGATATTGGTCCGATTCTAATCCCAGAATTTATCATGAGGTTCATACACAGCAGCCTCAAAAATTAAATGTTTAGGCTGGTATTTTTGGCGATCATTTAGTTGGTCCTGTTTTCTTACCTGTAGATTTGACCGGTGAAATGTATTTGGAATTACTGGAAGACGCCATAGATCCGGCATTAACAGCCATAATTGAAAATCAGAATGATCGGCGGTTCATTGCGAATAGGTTGATGTTCCCACAGGATGGTGCCCCACCACATTACGCATTACGTGTTCGACAATATTTAGATCAGACGTTTCCAGATCGATGGATTGGTAGAAGATGTGCCATTGAATGGCCCCCAAGATCGCCAGATTTATCACCTTTGGATTTCTTTATGTGGGGTGATTTAAAAGGCAAAATCTATGCTACTCAGCCAACATCATTATAAGACCTGCGACAAAAAATTGTGAATGAGTGCCTTCAAATTACTCCTCAAATATTGCAAAATGTGCGGCAACGTTTTAAGCAAAATCTTTATTATTGCATGGAGGGTCATGGTGGCCATTTTAAACATTTACTTGCCTAACGGGTCAGTTCATTCTTCATTTTTAAATTAATTTGCTGCCAAATGTATTGATCTCCACTAATGATGATGTATTAGTTTTATTTAAGCTTTAAACTGAAGTACATTAATTTTATATCATTATAAAGGGTTAAAATAAGGTATCTCTCGACCTCCCTTTCTATTTAAGATTTTGGGGGTGGTGTCACCCCCGCGTAGGGGGCTGCACGTGCTAACGTGATTTTTTGCTAAACTTGTGTCCCCCTCGAAAACAAAATCGACGGGTCTGAGCTTTTTTCCAAAAAAAAAAAACTGAGCTGCCAGTAAATGCGTCTGTTTCGTTTTCGATGCGTCACCCTGTATATATTAATGTATCATCAGCAAATAGTTGAATTTTTCAGTGTTGTAAAATATCAGGAACATCGTTAATATATAAAATAAATAGTACTGGACCTAATTTGCTAGTCTGTGGCACACCTACAGAAATGTTTTTAATGTTTGATAATGTATTGCCAGTTTTAGTTCTTTGACTTCTTTTGATTAAATAATGTTGTAATAAGTTGAATACTGAACCTTGAAATCCATAGCAATGCAATTTCGTTAACAATTTCTCCCTGTCAATAGTCTCAAATGCTCTCTTGAAATCTAAGAACAATGTTACTGTAAACTTTTTTTCATCCATATTTCGCCTCCATTCTTCTACTACCATTTGAATTGCTGTTTCAGTAGAATACTGTTTGCTTGAAATTTTGTCAATATGTTATTTTCTTCAATATATCCAATGACTTGTTCATATATGATTCCTTCTAAGAGCTTCTCGACATCTGGCAGTACATTAATTGGCCGCATGTTTGAATATAACTCAGAATTTTGCACTTTTGGAACAGGAGTAATTGTAGAACATTTTAATTTTGAAGGAAATTCACCATACACTAAACAGTGGTTCACTAACAGTAATAACTTCTCCAATAATGTTGAAACATTCCTTCATAACGATTTTTGAAAGATGATCACTAGGATTTCTATTCGATTTCAATCTTGTAATAGCTTTTGAAAGATGGCTGATATTTATTGTTTGGAATTGTTCGAGTATAAAAAAATATCAGCATTGTAAGTGAAAGATGTTTTGAAGAGTGTTGTGCGACGTATTGGCAGGGTTAAGGTGTAATGGTAACGAACCTGAAGATTATGCACAGACGCCCTTGGAAAAATGTACAACTGGGGTATTGAGGGGATGCGATCCCTCATGCAAGATTGCGATATAAATGCGATACATGATCAAACTTTCCTAGGTTTTCGATAAACTTCACACAGATATTCTGCATTATATAAAAACGATTTGCGTTAATAGACGTCAGGCAAACCATATAACATTTAAGAAATAACTAGCCGTTGACACAAATTAATTTTGATGTTTTTATGCAGAACATGTTTCTTTGCGAACAGAATCTTGAGGGATAGATAACATTTATTCAAGACCCATTGGATAGTTTTATTACAAAGTAAATTCTTATGCGTTTAAACGCTTGCCCACACACTCATTTTCCAGCAAGCTATTCTAGGAATTTAATTTAATGTTTCATTTATAATTATCCGTATGATAGGTTGCCTCCCGAGTAATGAAACACCTGATCGAAGACTTCGCCTCCTCAAACCTGTTCGGCCGCGACAACTACGAGTACTATGCGAGAGTCACCGGACGGGTACTACGGGTGCAAGGCGAATGGATTTGCTCATTCCAGTACCCGCCAGCGAATGGCGTTTATCCCAACGAATGCATAGCTCTGGAACGGTACCTGATCGGTGAGTTTGTGTAATGTAGTAAAATTCGGTAATTTCCTGTTTGATATTTGATGCTTGGTGTGCTATTATGGTTTTGGCTACGTCATATTTAATACAAATCAGCGTAACTCCATGAAAATTACGTTATTTTTGGCCGAATTTATATGTCTGTGTAATGCGTGGTAGGCGCCGTACGAGGGTAGGATGAAAAGTTCTCGGCCGGACAATGAAATACTGCGATTTCATTTCGTCGCATAATCTCTTTCGACGCCAACACACTTGGCCCAGCAGTTCTCCAAGATTAGGATTCCTTCTCGGCATTGGAAGGCTGTCAAAATATTCATCTGCGGCCCTAATCATCAAATCCAAGCACTCTGCAGAAAGAAATTTCTTTTTTTCTCCAACTCCAGTTCTTTCTACGTGTTTTCCATCCACGACTACAGCTATCTTACTCACTTTCATATGCCTATTTTTCGAGATTCAATGCATCCCTACAATTTACATTTGCTTCAAGATTTGTATCAAAATTAGCCTTTATAAACTAAACATGACGAAACTATTTACTTCTAAAACAATTTATTTTCTCAAAAACAGTTTAGATACACTCTAGTCGTAAAACATACATATTTGATATCACTTAGACCTATAACTAATAGAACATCTGAACAAATAAACAATGTGCGAATAAATGCGCGAAGTTAACAAAGTAACAATTTAAAGATTACCATTGGGTGACATCACCTTTGTTTTTTATTACGGCTGAAATTCTTTGGGGCATAGTGTTAACCAAGTTTTGGCAAAAATTTGGTGTAAAACAATCCCATATTTCTTGAAGCTTTTGTCTCAGTTCGGTGATTGTACGAGCAGGATGTTGTCGTAGAACCTTTTTCATTTCGTGCCACAAAGTTTCAATAGGTGACAGATCTGGAGTGCTAGAAACCCATTTCAAAAGTGGTACATTATTTTCTTCCATCCATTTTATAGCCTTTTTTGAGGTATGGCACGCTGCACCATCTTGCTGAAACACAAAATCTTGGCCGGATGTAAAACATTCTTCCATCACTGGTGAAAGCGATTCTTCTAAAATTGCCAAATATTTGTTTGTATCCACATTTCCATAAATAAAATGAAGTTTTCCTACACCTTTTGATGACATACTGCCCCAGACCATAATGGATGCTGGAAATTTCACTTTTCTCTTCAGACAGTCAACATGGAATGCTTCATTTTTTTGCGAATAACTCTACTGCCGCTGTCACCAACACAAACTTCGAATCGGGCCTCATCACTCCATTGTATTGCACACCATTGTTGAGGTGTCCATTGTCTATGTTCTTTAGCCCATCTAAGCCGATTTTTCTTTTGCAGTGGAGTTAATAGTGGCTTTTCTTTGGCCTATAAACAAGTTGTCCAACTTTAGGATTTTTTCTTCACTTTTTTTTTATAAGAAAATTTACCTTGCAAGTGCTAAATCGCAGTTTGTGGGCCTCTCTATGAGTTGTGGATCTCGAAATTCTCTTTCCAACAGCGTCACTCCACAGAGCACTTAATTGTAAATAATTGGCTCTCCTGTTTTTCACGATCTTCTTAACACATTGACTGCGAACTGGGATGAGGATACCCACCTCAGAAACTGAAATACTTTTTTTGGAAGCTGGCAGAGAGCGTCGAAAGACGCCGTTCGCCTCCCACCACAGGAGCGGAGGGCGTCTTTTGACGCTGTTCGCACTGAACGTGTTAATACTCTTCGGTCGGCATTTGTGATATTACTTTTTTTCACATATCGTGGCTTAATATTAACTGAACCAGTTACGTTATATCTTCTAACAATATTTCTTACACTGTACCGCGATAAGTCTAACAAAGCTGCAATTTCTGAGTTTGATTTCCCAGAATTAAAAAAATTAATTATCAGTAACCGAATTTTCTCACTAATAACCTTTCCTTTACACATTTTGAAAACCTTAACTACCCAAAACTATTTTAAACGTATTCTGACAGCTGTGATTAATAAAAACAATTGTCATGGCCTTTATTTTTCACAGCCACCTATGCGTTATAGACATATTTTGCATTGAAATGAAAATAGGTTGATATGCTGTAATTGCAACATGTGTTATTTTTATGCTGCAAATTTGATTAGGGAGTGATAAAGTTGGTGTTTTCTACTATATATTATCAAAATATTCATTGCTAATATTTTAAACCTATAACACCCTGCTACATTTTTATTATTTGTGTTTGATAAGAAAAAAACTAAGATTTCAATAGTTGGGCCAACTGAAGTGGGAAGGGGCTCGTAGCTTTGTACAAGTCAACAAAGTAGTGGGGAAACGAAAACGGTATGAACATGATATTTACATTACTTAATCACAGCTAAGATACAAATTTCCAAAATATCACAGTTTTGTATAACAAGATAGGACCTTACAAAAAACGTATGTCGCACATACAGGGTGGCCCAACAAAAAGGTCGCACCCCCATTGTGGCTTTCCTGGTATATTTTGCAAAAAATGCTCGGACACGTCATTCTATCATACAGAAGTTACTCAAAACTTCATGGAAAATGTAGAAAATGGGGTTTAGATTTAAAAATATTAAGTGAAACGTAATATCTTATTTTTGGATCACACTGTATTGTACGGCTATAGATGGAAAGACTTTCCCTAGAAATAAAAATTTACATGCCCGAGCGTCTTTCCCAAAATATACGAGGAGAGTCACAAATGAAGGTGCGACCTTTTCGTTGGGCCACCCTATATAAAAAAATATCAATGAAAAACGAGATTCTATTTAAACACGCAATCTGAGGACTCAACAACGAATAACGATTGATTGAAGTTAAAATTCATAAAATGTCGATGCTATAGGAAATCATTTAAATTAGAATACATTTTTAATTTTAAAAATAAAAAAAAAACAAATGCTCACTTTATATTTAATTTTCATTTATGTACTTAATTTATAAAAATATATATTAAAATTAAACATACATGACTATATTAAATTGAACTTAAAATTACATTTTGATACTCAGTGTCACAATGAGGCTAGACAAATTAATTGTACAAAAATACGTGCTTTGATTATTAATAGATTTTTATAGAAAATTAAAAGAATAAAAGCTAATAAGAAAATATATGAATCTTACAGAATGTACCTACATAATAGAAAAATAATCTTACCTTTTTATATATACATATAGAACGGTTTTTATTTTTTTACTCAAAAATGGCGCATCGAAGGAAAACAATTCAAGAGAGATCATTTGTTTTAAATTGAACGGTGAATTCAAAGACAATTTTTATTTGACAAAAAACCATTTGTTTCTTAAAAAATATCGAAGTCAATACCCGTACGCACACCACTGTTAAAGCTAAAAATTATTTTTGCGTCGAAAAATATGCAACTTTATTAACTTTCACTACGTACTATATATGAGTGAAATATCTGAAGCGGTTCTGAAAATATTAATTAATTTCCATTTTAATCCCTAAAACTTCAACACCCCGAGTTTTTGTAAGGAAACATTTTTGGACCATAGTTTATAAAGCAAACTAACATTAATTTTTCATGTAGATTCAGGCGCTTAAATATTCGCATCATTAAGGAACACCCTGTATACATGTATCGCAAAAGTATTCAGTCAAATACCAAACACACAAATGTATTAAAATAGGATTCAGAATACCGAGTCTTCGCAAATCTCTTATATAGTCGGAAGTTGCGTTGGTAAGTGTTAAATATGCTGTGGTCTTGGAAATATAGACACTGTATTATACGTGAAGCTTGTTGGACTGATATATTTAACGTTTAACTGATAAGCATGTGATTTCCCCACAAAGCAAGTGTTACAACTTACTTGATGTTAATAATATAAGAGCAGTAAATATATGTAATTGAGCACAACTGGAAATGCATTTCTACTAAGCTAAAAACTAATATAAAACGATGAGTATACTATAAAAAAATAATTATAACTATTTCGCAGCTTGTGGGCTACTAAATGTCATGTTCAATATTCCTCACTTTGGTCTAGCACTGTGTACTGTGCATATTCTATCCTAGCTTCTATATCGATACTGATATAGAACATATCCCTTTCTTTTTTGTGGTTTGGTGAAACCTATGATATTTCTTGAAGGGAATACTCTAAAAAGAAAAGGGTACTATCGTCCTTATTACGCAAAAATTGTAAATCTGGTGACAGCAATTTTTGCTGTCAAACGCATAATTCGTACAATAACATATTCAAACCTCATTTACTCCGAGAAGAAACAAACATGACCACTCGATTGCCGCTTCCATTCGCTTGTCGGTGCCTGCCCAGGCATTTAGGGCCCGTCGGGCAATAGGAGCGCTAGTGAATTATTATAATCGCGAAACATTTCGAAAATAATGTATGTTTTTTAGATGCTATGTGACATAAGGTAATGGACAAAAGTAAATGTAGACAAATATGAATCTTTGCCTAAATACCTTTAGAAAACGAATTCATACTTCATTGTGGAATAAGTTGAATGATTATAAGACGTGGTACAGAAATTTCTTTCGATGTAAAAACTAAGATCATTGAGTTATACAAAGATGGTCAACGTCAAGTCGACATTGCCAAAAATTTGAAGCTGAAGCGTAAAACTAGTTTGAGCAATATTGAACAAATATAAACAAAAAGGTATCTTGGAAGCCTCTAAGAGAAGTAGTCGGCCTAGAAAACTGAATGTTAGATCAGTTAGATTAATAAAAGTAATTTCGTCCAAAGATTCGTTTAAAACCCGAGACAAATAAAAGCCGAAATCGAGACAAAAGAAATTGTCAGTGTTTCTATGAAAACTATAAGTAAAGGATTAAATGATTTGAAGTTATTTGCACGTCGCCCGAATAAGAAGCCGCTAATCTCGAGGAAAAACCGTTAGGACCGATTACAATTTGCATGGTTGCATCTTGATTGGAGCAACTGTGACTGGAAGAGGGTATGTTTAAGTGACGAATCCAAGTTCAATTTGTTTGGATCAGATGGTGTTCATTACGTTAGACTTCCAAGTCCACTGTCAAATATGGAGGCGGGTCTGTTATGGTTTGGAGGTGCTTTGCGGGGTTTGGGATGGAACCTTTACATAGAATAGATGGCATTATGGATAAGTTTGTATACACAGACATACTAAATCATGCCATGTTACCCTATACGGAAGACAGTATGCCCTTAAGATCAATCTTCCAGCAAGATAATGACCCGAAGCACACTTCAAATCTCGCAAAGAAATTCTTTCTGGATGAAAAAAAACAGTTCTCAAATGGCCTTGATACTCTCCCGATATAAACCCCATTGAAAATCTATGGAAATATTTAGATAAGCAAATACGAGATAAAAATTATACAAACAAGGATTAATTTTTTGCCGCTTTAGAGCAAAAGTGGGGACAGATTGACGAATCTTATATCAAGAAACTTCTACAATCTATGCAGAGACGATGCCAGGCGGTGATTGATAATAATGGTTATGCTACAAAATATTAACACAAACATGGTTGGTTTTCTATAATTCAATGAACTTTGTTTCTTTTTTCTATAATTGTTTTGCTTTGTCTATATATTTTTGTCCTTCATAGTTCCAGTTTTTTTCAATTAATTTTTTATTGAAGGGAGTCTAATGAATTTATTTATGTATACGTGAGTATTATGCTATAACGAATTATGTATACAGGTTGGTGTATTAATAAAACAAGTTAAAAAAGAAATACAGCACAATATTAATTTGTCTATATACTTTGTCCATTACTGTATATCACGAAAAACATCAGTTGGTCTGTATGCTAGTCCTTGGTCGGTCTATAACTTGCAAAGTACCGCTCGCATTTGGATGGAATTTTCACATAACCTTACTGCTGTGCCAAGGGCGAAGAAGATTTGTATATTTTGAAATTCAGTTTAGGGGCAGCAGAGCTACGGGCAAAAACTAAAAAATAAAAATCGATCAAACTCATTTCCAGAAAACTTTTTGTAGCGTTTAAAAAATGGGGGTTGGGGGTTGTATGAGGTAATTACAGCATAGGGTTGGACAAACAACAGGGCGTTGCGTTTGACAGTAACGGTTGATGCCAACAGAGTCGCAGTTTTTTTGTGTAATGGGAAACAGCGGTGTATATATGTATAATTTTCTTGAAGGGCAATTGTCTCTGGGTAATGATGCGTGGCTCCAATACGAAAATATTGACCATTGGAATGCAAATTTCTGCCTGGAAGGTAATCACGATCAGTTGGACGACATTCCTACCAATAACACTATTTAGGACTTCTTAATTTTATTTCCCTCTGTGCAATTGTACTATAGTGTTTTTTCTAAACATCAGTATTTTTAAATTGTCTTATTCCAGTATGTTATTTACACTGTGATATTTTCTTATTATTGCTAAATAAATCATTAATTTATTTCTTAACGTTATGTTTTATTTTGTGAATGTCTTTTGCTCGTATGTTTTTTGATCGCTGCTTGCATCCAATAACCGGTATCTGGAATCTCACACGTTTCGACTACTGGTTACCGTCGACATTAAACATAGTGATAAAATGTTGAACATTATTTTGTGAATAATACCGAAGATTTAGTGCCGCGATTTGGTGTGAGATTTCAAGATACAAATGAAGAAAGCAATATTATTCATTGAATACATACTGCATGCAACTTTTTATAGAAGTAGATCATCCAACTACTGGTGACGCCTTACTTGTCTTGACAGTTTTGAGCTTCATTTGGGTCTTTAGAGAACGACCCCAATAAACCAATTGCGCGGACTCTGGGATAGTTTCGTGTTGAACCCGAATCACCCTTTGCCATATGCAAGTGGCAGAAGAGTTGTCAAATACCTTTCCTCAAAAAGGACCGCGGCTTTTTTCGACTTGTGAGCTCTATCTTGAATAGTCGTTCACTCTAAGGCCCGTATCGTCAGTCGTCCCTACAATTGTAGGGCGCGTTTATGGCCTCCTTGATTGTCATCCTCCTTTCTCTCCTTCAAAAATTTCTAGATTACACTTGTCCCGTGTCAGCGTCAGCGCTCTCCTATTGTGAAGATATGTTTTCTTTTTAAATTGTAGGATATTTCAGGCTGATAAAACATGATATAACTCAAAAGCAAGCACAATTTGATGCAAACAGATGTTTGTGACATAACCTCAAAATAGAGTTCTGACACGGAGAAGTAGAAAACTATGACAATTAGTGAGGCCATAAAGGCGCCCTACAATTGTAGGGACGACTGACGATACGGGCCTAAGACTTCCTCATTTGACTAGTTTCCTCAAGGAACTGAGGGGTCCACCCATTTTACGTCAGATTAATAATTGAAACTGTCATGTAACTGCTATATACAAGGCAAATAAGGCATCCTCACTGAGGAGGCCTCAAGGATCCACTATGCATTTGGCCCTAAGGTAGAAAGTAGGAGCAAGTTATAAGCAATATGTATTCGCTATATTTTTTTAGTTAACTTTTGCCTGCATAGCGCTAGCTCCTAACCTAAGGTATGTACTCTTAACAAGATCTTTTCATCACATGTGTTGTTCGATACAAACACGAGAATGTAGATATATTTTGGAGTAGTTTTTGGAGCACTGTGTAGACCTAAGACAAAGAATTGACGCATATTTTCAGCCATCGCGCAAGTAGAAGAGTGCCAGTCCACACCAGCTCTTTTGGAGGTCGGTCTTCAACAGCAAGTTACTGCCACTTCGTTGGGCATGATCGCAGAGCACGGACTATTAGAGTCTTGCACTAGACTGTCGGTTTCTTTAGAACAAAATGGATTATTTCAGGTAAGACATTGAATTATTTGTAGTATTTTTACAGAAATATTCATTTTAGATCGTACTTTGCTTGAACTAAATCTAATTTCAGCTATCAAAATATTGTAAAATTATAATATTGTTCTATTCAAAGGCCTAAAGATATCTATAAAGGGTGTCCCAACAAAAATGGAAAGTAGTTTTCTGAGCAAACTGGAGAGGTATCAAAAAATCTACTTTCGTGGTAACCTTGACATGGTACATATTTTAGTTATGGAATACTATGTATGTATTCCATAACTTCATTATATTTGGATAGAGCTTCTAAAAACAAGAAGTTCTATCTCATATGACATGTGGTTGCCATTGTCAGTTGTTTAGAAATTTAGTGATGTCTGAAAAAATGCCCAACTTTGGCGGTTTGCAGCTCTGCTATTTTTGAGGATATTTAGATAATTTTTTCTGAAAAGTGCTGAAAATTCTTTCTATTTGCACAGGGTATCGCAAAACGTACCTTCAAAGCTGAGCGTTTTTTCAGACGTTTGACCAAATATGTAAAGAATTGACAATCGAAATAATACATTATACAGGGTGACGCATCGAAAACGAAATAGACGCATTTACTGACAGCTCAGATTTTTTTTTGGAAAAATGCTCAGACCCGTCGATTTTGTTTTCGAGGAGGACACAAGTTTGGCAAAAAATCACGTTACCACGTGCAGCCCCTGGGAGGAGCTGACACCAACCCTAAAATCTTAAATGGAAAGGGGGTCGAGTGATACCTTATTTTAAAGGTCTTTCAATTCCCTTTATAATGATGTAAAATACATGAGTTTCAGTTCAGTAGGTTTGAAGACTTATTGATTTAAAGCTTTAAGTAGACTTTAATGGGTACATCAGATTAGTTTATACTACTTTCAGAAGAAATTTGACTACACTATGTAACGCTTCCTTTCCGCAAAAAGTCCAGAAAAGATGGAATGCAATGAAGATTCCAACTTTTCTGCACAATCACAGAAAGGGGGTTAGCATTAGCTTCCGGTAGCTCAGTCGGTGGCATGAAGACATCAACAGGCGTGTAGCTCTGTGTCGACCATGGCATGGCTAGAGGATAGAAGAACAAACAGCACACAAACATTTAACAGATTTTATTTAACAAAAAAGCATTTTCATTACATTACAATTTTAAAGAACAAAACAAGTTTTAAATCTTTGGCGCTGCCATAAATCTATACACTTATCTTTCGCTGGTCCATTTTGACTGGACTGAAGCGAGGATGGCCAGGTGCTTGAAGTGGAGGTCCCAGTTATGAGGGGTGACCTCACATATAGTGGCTTCAAAACCAGTTGTAGGCGAAGTTGAACTTAAAGGTGATAGCGCTGCCAAGGCACATGCATGGGTGAAGTGATAGGCCAAGCAATGCAAAGTCAAAGGCAAAAGCAAAGTCAAAGACAAAGGCAAAAGTCAAAGACAAATGCAAAGGGAAAGAGAAAGGGAAAGTGAAAGAGAAAGGGAAAGTGACAGGGAAAGGGGGTGGCCCCAATCATTTTGTCCTATTCGGACACACATTCTACAAAATTCTAGCACATGGTGCTATACGACCTCATGCTACAGAGAACAAAATTCTTAGCTCTTGCTAGATCGGCGGCTCAAGTGAAAAGGAAACGCGAGGAAGATCGCAGATCAGGAACTCCGCATCAAGCGCTCCAAGCGGAAAATTTTCCAAGTAAAAAAGCTAGAGATGGGATTAATGATTTGCGATTCTGAAATAATAATCGAGAAGTGATTTAATAAATACAATCGGACGGTGAAACCGTTACAACTACACCCATGGTTTGTTTATCATTTTGTTGTTTAAAACAGCTATAAAGATGCGATTCCACCAGTGTGCTGAACTGTGCGGCACTCTAATGCACAGTGTACAGCACAAATGTTTCTTCTGGTCGACTCTCTCACGCAAACAATAGCAAATTGTGCGCGAACATTTTGGAAACGTTCGCGCACACATCAGTTACTTTTGTGCGCGCACATACAAGCAGTGGACTCGCGTCGGCGCGTACATACTTGTTGCGAACAAAGTGTTGCTTCCACTCCTGGAGTGAAAACATTTGTTTGTACGCGCACTTTTTTTACGAAATTAAAAATGGACTGGACGAATGATCAAATGATAAGATTTATTCAAGCAGTTGAAACGTATCCTCTTCTATGGGATTCCAGTCACAATGATTATAAGAATAGAAACAAAAAACACGACGCCACTCAAGAGTTGACTCAAAGTTTCAATTGTGACTTGACTGAGGAAATGAGAAAATGGAAGATTATTTTGGCTCAATACCGAAGAAAAAAGAAGAAAATATCGGATTCAAAATCTTCAGGTTCTGGGTTTTCAGATGTATATAAGCCAAAATGGTTTGCTTATGCATATTTGAATTTCTTTCATGCAAGGGATGAACCGAACACCAGCATGAACTCGCAAGATGAAATAAATGAACAGGTACATACAATTTTTTTTATTATTTTATGACTCGATTATACTTAGGTATGCTATTTACGCTAGTGTTTCTTGCCATGGCACCATTCCGATGTCAGTTTGAAAATAATTTGCTAGTTCTTCCCTTATATCTTTCGCATCGCCAGTTGGTATTCTTCCGATATTTCTTAATGGTAGTAAGTTTGCCATGGGTGCATCGCGCCGCCAACTTCCATCGATAGCGCTATGGATAATTCGGTTTTCAGTGTCGAAAATGCCAGAAGTGTAAAGCTGTGAAGATGACTTTTGTGTCATCAAAAAATTATGCAAATAACAACATGTCAGTGTTATTAATTGTGCCTTTTCTGGAGCTAAAAGCATGGGTTTCCTGAGTACGCGAAATACAGCGGACAAAATCCCAAATACATTTTCCACAATACGTCTCGCTCTGCTCAACCGATAATTGAATATTCTTTCTTTCGATCTTTTGTCATGTTGACCGGGATATGGCTTCATTAAATTCATATCTAATGCAAAAGCATCGTCTGCAACAATGACATATGGAATTGGTGTCTTCCTCCCGGGAAGCCCAGTAGGTTGAGGTAAATTTAATTGTCCTTGCTCAAGATTAAAAGTTTAAGGCTCCAAAGAACTCGTTGAAACGTCGTGCTGTCGATGAAGACCCGAGAATTTCCCATGCTTTGTCCATTATGGACAACGTAAATAAGCAGATGGAAGCAAGAAAACGTGACGATGATGACATTTTTGCTGCAGGCGTCGCAACGAAATTAAGAAAAATTAAAGATGAACGAAAGAAGATTTTAGTGCAAAGGGACATTGATAATTTATTGTATGACGCGATTATTGGTACTGGAAAATATGCTACGACTCGAATTCCTTCACCTTATTCAGATTCGTCAAACTCACAAGGTCAGGTACCGCTTTCAAGTTTTCAAGCCCGCAATGGTGATTTTGACGACGACCTTTTACGCCAGCATAACAGCGAAATATTAACTTGGCAAGATATGTAGCAATAAATGTTAATAAATATGGTTTAGCTTTCTTACCTTAATGTTTTCTTTCAGCACGCTTATCAACCCCTTACAAGTCTCAGGTACAATCCGAGCAATAAGTTCTTTTGAAACTTTAAATAAATACATTAAACTTGCAAAAGAATCTCCAGTAGCAAGATATCTCAGGGTAATTGCTAGCCTTATTGAAACAGGGACACATTTTCTGTAGTTGGTGTCTTGCTTTGCAATATGAGGACTAAGTGCATTGACCAGTAACTCAAAATCTTCACACGATATACGAGTAAAATTTTTAAATCCACTTAAGGGATCTACTTTTATTTCTTCTACAAATCTATTCGTTTCTTCATTCCATCGCTGCAGAAAAGGCCTCACCCAACATCGTGGTTTTCTTCTTCGTTTCTGTTTAAGCAGACTACCTATTGAAATACAAGCTGCAGCACAAAACACTACGTATTCCCGCCCATCCATATTAAGAACTGAAGTTAGTGAGAACTTTGCTTGGTAAACATGTTCGTGCACAAGTGTGATACACTGTACGCTTACAAAAGTTATGCACTGCTTTGCCGGTGGACACAGAAGATAAATTCGATACCAGTGAGCACATTCAATGCTGGAGTTTCACACAAAATGTTTGTAAACAAATGTGCTGAACACTATTTTGGTGGAATCGTACCATTAGAGCGTTTTTTTGTGGCTAAAAAGTTATTGAAGAAACATAAGGAAATATTATCGAAATATTTTTCGGAAATAAACAGTGCGCTAATAGAACAGCAGAAATATTTAATGAGCGATATGAGAACAGTAACGTGCATCGAAAATATGTTCTATGTTGGTTTTAGGGCAAGTTTATGTAGATCCTACGTTAAGTATCCGCAAATTGGAGACTGTGTGTGGTGTTAGTCGACGTAATGTCCAACGGATTCTAAAGGCCCATAGTTTTCATCCGTACAAAATTCACCTGGTACAAGAACTTAATGAAGACGATTTTGATCGGCGATTACAATTTTGCGAAGATATGAGTGAACGAATTATAAACGATGAACATTTTCTATTCAACACTTGCTTTTCGGGCGAATGTTCCTTTTTCTTAAATGGCGTAGTAAATCGTCATAACTGTCGATATCGGTCCGATTATAATCCCAGAATTTATCATGAGGTTCATACACAGCAGCCACAAAAATTAAATGTTTGGGCTGGTATTTTTGGCGATCATTTAGTTGGTCTTTTTTTCTTACCTGGAAATTTGACCGGTGAAATGTATTTGGAATTACTGGAAGACGCCATAGATCCTGCATTAACAGCCATAATTGAACGTCAGAATGATCGGCGGTACATTGCGAATAGGTTGATGTTCCAACAGAATTTCTTTATGTGGGGTCATTTAAAAAGCAAAATCTATGTTACTCAGCCAACATCATTGGAAGACCTGCGACAAACAATTGTGAATGAGTGCCTTCAAATTACTACTCAAAAATTGCAAAATATGCGGCAACGTTTTGAGTCAAAATCTTTATTATTGCATGAAGAGTCATGGTTGCCATTTTCAACATTTACTTGCCTAACGGGTCAGTTCATTCTTCATTTTTAAATTACTTTGCTGCCACATGTATTGATCTCCACTAATGATGATGTATTCATTTTTTTAAGCTTTAAATCAATAAATCTTAAAAACTACTGAACTGAAGTACATTAATTTTATATCATTATAAAGGGAATTGAAAGACCTTTAAAGTAAGGTATCACTCGACCCCCCTTTCCATTTAAGATTTTAGGGTTGGTGTCTCCCCCGCCCAGGGTTTTGTTTTCGATGCGCCACCCTGTATATCAAACTTCTTGTTTTTAGCAGCTCTATTCAAATTTGCAATAGAATATAGGGTGATCTATTAGATGTTTGCTATGGCACGACGTTATAGAATACCTTATATATATTAAAATAACTGTAAATGTGCACTAATAACATATCAAGGTTGCCATGAAAACAGATTTTTGATATCTTTTCCAATTTGCTTGTAATACTACTTTTCATTTTCGTTGGGACACCCTGTATTACTTAACACTCTTAGGAATAGATCCTCCATAATATGTCGAAAACAAATTCAGTAAATTCTACTAAACCTCCTTACCTGTATGTTTTGTACAATTTTTTTAAACAAATTTCATTTATTACGTTTTTCCCTACCTTGAACACTTTTTTTTTTTTAGTTTTTTCCCTTATTTTAACTTTCTAAACCCCTATAGACAGGAGGGTATCTGTTACAGGGTAACACTACATCACATTCATCTAGCACTAGTCATTCCTCAAGACATTCAGGTCCGAAAATGACATTGGACGAATTGAAAGCTGTCAATAAGTATGCAGAAAGCACAAGAAGTCTTAGCTACTTACCACAGGTAGGATCAATATTTATACAGGGTATTTGAAAAATAGACGGAGATATTTCAAAGTGTGATTCATTGTTGAAAAATATGAAAAAAAGTTTCTACAAACAAGGGTCCGGAAATACACATTTTCAAAATACAGGGTGATAAATTTGAATTATTATTTTATTGATTATATATACATATATATACATATATATATATATATTCAGGTTGGCCCATCCATGTGTGGACGGAATATTACTCATAAAAAAATATAGTTTGGGAAAATCTATTTATGGCATGTTATACATGACATTTGAGATCACATTTCTAAAATAATGGCAATTATACAGGGTGTCCCAATTTTGACCTACATATCAAAGCTGTGATTTTTTGAATGGAATGCCTCAAATTTTATTGCATATTTGGATATACCAATTCAAAAGAAAAAGATTGATACCATATACTATGGGATTTTGGTAATTTGCTACTGAGATGTAAGGTATTTTGTCCAGAAAAACCGTCCACTTCGGTAACCCTCAATCCGCCATTTTGAAATTTGGAGTGCTGAATTTTGTATCAAAAAAAAACTTAAACACTTCAGCTTTTGTCTTATTTGTTACTTTTTCGAATTTTTATGTTTGCTCATACAGGGTGATCAAAAACGCGAATTGTATTTTTTCTCGAAAACGAAGTCAGATTCCAAAAATAAAAAAAAATGCTGTATCACCCTGTATATTGAAAACTGCATTTCCGGACCCATTTTTATAGAAACTTTTTTAATATTTCTTAATATACAACTCGAGCATTACAGAGAGAGTAAATCGGTGTAAATGGCAATGCGGTCTTTGTTCAGAATGTTTGACACGATTTGGATTCCAGGTACACGAGCGACAGACTGAACGAATGAAAACCAGATCTCAATGGTTCTTAGGACCATCGGTAGAGTGCACCAGTTGTGGTGGGTCTGTGGACTTGCCATTAAATGAAGCTGATGTATCTGCTCTAACCAATGCACTTTTGAGAAGATCCTCGTCAGGCACTATAGGTAAAGACAAGATGATTTTAAAAAGCTTCTAAAGTCCACATATGAGAATTTAGATCTTTTATCAAATGTTTGACATTTCGTGGTGTATAACTGATTAGTCTATAACAAATTATTTTTTGCAGTTGGTATCGCGGGATTATCTTTGAGCGCTGAATCTATCCAGAAAAGACCCAGTTTGAAGAGATCCAATTCTAGAGATAAAAGATACCTTTATCGGAGCGCTAGTAAAAGAAACAAAGAAAACGGATCTAGGTCGAACAGGTATGTACTATAAAGTATATAATCACAGTATATCTAAAACACGGCAGCACAACTTTTAAATTTATTAATCTACTTTATTACAAAAATTTCTTTACGTGGCAGGATTATAATTTGTAAACAAATTGGGAACTAAACTCACTAATGTGGAATTTTAGAAACAATATAATACTTTTAGGTGATTTTAATTTAAATTATTATGGTAAAAGCATGAAAACAAGAAAATTGAAAGAAACCATAAACAACTATGGGTTCAAGCAAAAAATTGAAGAGAGTACCAGAATAACATCATTATCAGAGACTTTGTTAGATCTTGTTATTGTAAATTTCGTGCAGGGTTTAAAGCTGTACATACACCTAAAGTTAGCGATCACAGTTGGACAATGCTGCCCTTGGTAGGGCATTTTTCTGATACAAAAATTAAGAAAATCATAAATACTATAAATACGACAAACTTGAACGAGAACTTGCTGGCTGCTATTGGAATTTTGGTGAGAATATGAAAAAATATATGACAACATAATAGGAAATATAAAAACTTAGATCTTGCAACTGATAAAAAAGTGATTTGCCTGACAAAAAATACACACTGGTATAACAAGAATATTAAGGCAGCTCAAAATTTGAGAGACAAACAATACAATAAATGTATATTCACAAAATCAAATGATGATTGGGAGGTATATAAAACTCTTAGGAATAAATGTGTATATGTAATTAGAGAAGAAAAAAGAAAATTCTACGATAAACAAATCGATAATAACAAGTGCGACAGTGTAAAGATGTGGAAGACTTTAAAAAGACTGATCAATTCGAAGCCGCATGATTGTGTAAATCAAGTTCAATTCGAAAACGGTACCAAAACAAATTCTTTGGTGATTGCAAACAAACTAAATGAATATTTTGTGGAAAGTGTTGTTGATATTGTGGGTACTGCCAATGCTGCACCTGACTATATGAAAATCACTTTCCAGGGGGAAATGTTGCATACACTTTCAAAATTTCACAGTGTATCATTGAATTATCTAAGAAAAAAAGTAAACAGTTTAAAATCAAATAATAACTGTGCCGAAATCACTACTAAAAACTTGCTGAAAAACTGTTTCGAAATTTTGGGATATCCTGTATTAAATTGGATCAATTGTTCACTGAGAAGCAGTTCTTTTCCTGAAAATTTGAAATGCTCTACAATAACACCAGTTCACAAAATAAAAAATTCTAAAAGATGCAGCGATATGAGACCAGTAAATGTGTTACCAGACATTGGAAAATTATTAGAGTCCATAGTGCATGACCAATTAATGCAGTTTATAGAAGAAAACAAAATTTTAGTGGTAACTGAAAATTGGAGAAGAGCCATAGACTCAGAAGAAGTTGTCATAGCAGTATTTTTGGATTTGAAGAGGGCATTTGAAACGATTGATAGAGATATTTTGTTAGGTAAATTGAAGGCATATGGTATAACAGGAAGTGTTTTAGATTGGTTTAGAAATTATTTGTCTAAAAGGATGCAAGTTACAAAAGTTAATGACACTATTTCATCAAAAATTGAAAATACGTTGGGTGTTCCACAGGGCAGTATCCTGGGACCACTTCTTTTTATTTTATACATAAATGATTTACCTGCCATAGTAAAAAATGCAAAATTCAGATTTTCGCCGATGACACTATGATTTATATAAGTACTAAAAATATTCAGTCTGGTATCTCTTATATAAATGAAGACCTGAAGCTTGTCTCAAAATGGTTAGCATCTAACAGACTAAAATTAAATGCAAGTAAAACGAAAGCCTTGTTAATCGGAAAAAAACAATGTACAAATGTTCAACTGAATATTGATGGTGAAGATATTGAATTCGTAGAAAATTTTAAATAACTGGGGGTTTTTGTTGACTCTCGATTAATTTTTGATATCCATTATGAAAAAGTTATAAATAAGATTAGTAGTAAAGTGGGATATTTATCGAGAGTTTCTGGATGTCTGAGTTCATATAGCAAAAATTATCTATAATACCATCATTCTTCCAAATTTCTTGTACTGTTCGACTATTCTATATTTAGCAAATAATTCCATTTTTGAAAGACTGCAAATTTTACAAAATAAGTGCATGAGAATAATACTAAATAAAGATAAATATACTCCAATTAGGCAAATGCTTAGCAAATTAAAATGGCTCAATGAAAAAAAAATTATCATATATCTTGTAATGATATTCATTTATAAAATAAAAAATAATATATTTTCATCAAGTCTAACTAATTTAACATCATCAAATGTCGACCATCATTTACATAATACCAGAAATAAAGATGACTTCCATTTAATGACCAAAAAGTATAACATATGCTACAAATCTGTATTCCATCAAGGGTTGATTGAATATAATAAATTATACTCGGAGCTAAAAGACCAGAAAACTTTGACAAAATTTAAAGTATAATTGAGAAATCACTTGTTAAATCTACAATTATATGTTGCCCAGCATTTACATCATACACCATATGGCTTGAATTTACTAGTTCTAAGTTGTTTACAATTATTCTGTTTATGTAGCCAAATGTGCTAAATAAATCTTTCTACTACTACTACTACTACTACTACTAACGCATTTTCCCACAAAATTTGGTTCCAAATTATAAAAAAATGTATCCAGGCCCTCTAATCAAACGGAGCACCGACCATTTTTTTTTTTCAGTTTCAAATCACGCGGCGAGCGCAAGTCTTCTAACTCTCGCCCCGGCAGTTTCAAGTTGAAGTACGACAACATATCAAAATCTTCTAGTTTCAAGAACAAGGGGGAGTTGTGCTCTTGTCCTACAAATGGGAGCAAAGAAGGCGCAACTGCGATCGTCACAACCTCTAATGAGGCTTCTCCTGGAGCTCCAAAGACTACAGAGACCATATGCGTTACTCTCAAGTATAAACCGCGTATTTAAGATTATGACATGTACAAGACTTGTTTAAACTAACAGTTTTTCACGGGGTGGTGAAAAGTATATGACTAAGTATTTGACTCTAACGAATTCAGACTAGATAGATGGAGGATTCGTACGATTTGTTTATCTCCTGTAGTCAGGATGAAAGTGTACTTAACATAAATTGATTTTTTGACAGTTCTGTGTCACCAAATTCTTATTTTTTGAAAGTGCGGTAATTGTGTTGTTAGACGAAGGTAGATCTTTCCACCGGTAAGTAGTGTTATTATGTTCATACAACATTGTCGATTTCGTAGGCAAATGAGCTACGATCATGCGTAATTTTGGCGACAAACAATGCAATGTAAACTTACAGGCTTGGCTCCTCATAATCTATTTGAATTCGTTGTTCAACTCTGATATTAAAGAAATGCGATAAAACTTTCCAGTTAACTTTTTCCAATAATCAAGGTTTTTTCTCAATTCGTGCTATTACCGTTGCTATTTGGTTGTTGCCACGTCTAGTCTTCCGAATTGCTGTTTATGTTGGTAGTTTCAGTTTTAAATTATAAACGAATTGTAGATTTGGCAAACCCTAACGGGCAACATTTTGAACACTTATTGAAATAAAGTGATATTTTCGAATATTTTTCTATTTAAAAAGCAAACGTCAAAATGAAGGACTTCGAAAGACCTTTCAATCAAGCTATTGACCCTGGAGGGCCGAGGATGAAAGGGGGTGAAGTAATTTTTGGTTAAAAAGTTGTCCCCCTTGACAGATCTTTTGACGTGTCTCGGCGTTGTTTCTTTTAATCAGTGGTTTTCGATAAATGCGTGGTTGGAAGCTTTCACATGAGCACCCTGTATAAAGGTATTTCATTGTAACGAAATGTTAAATACAATCATATATTCTCATAAAAAATACTCAATTAACATCACTTGAATGATATCGCAGAACGTATTCATTTCCGAATAATGACCCTATTATGTAGTCAAAACGTTCCAGATGGCATTAGAAATCTACAATTAAAGAAAATAAACAACAGTGTATTTACTGGAAAATTTACGCTTTGCTGTGAGGTAAGATTATAACTTGAATGTCGACGGCCGATGTCAACAGAGCGAGGGACCGCATTGACAAAAGATGGTAATAATAATAATTGGCCTGAAAAAGAAGCATGGCCACACATACTCCACCTTGTATGACGCGCTTCTCCCTTTGCTACTTATCACGATGGATGCGATCCTATTTTTTTTACACCAAAGCAGCCGCACATATAGAAGCCAAAATGCCACTGCACCGCGGTATGATGAGGTGGACGCTGGCCAAGCAGATTGAAAAGAACTATTCATACAGTAGCCTCCCACCACTCACGCGCCTGGATGGAACGATTGTATTAGATTCAAAGGGTTCCCTACACCATGCGGGAGGTAACATTCAGGCATAAGACCGTAAGTCGAGTGCTCTTGTCGCTCGACATCAATAAAGCTTTTGGTCCGGACTTGATTCCTGCCATTGTACTGAAGAAATGTGCAGCGGAACTTGCTCCAGTTCTTTCGCGTTTCCCAGAAAACTGGAAACTTGCTCATGTCCAACTTGATTAGCGACAGGCAGTATGGTTTCCGGCACCAACGATCCACAGGGGACCTCCTAGCTTACGTCACTCAATTGTGGAGTAAACTCATCCAGTCTTATGATGAGGCTCATGTCGTTGTTCTTAATATCACGAAAGCGTTCGATCAGCTGTGGCACGCTGCCCTCTTAAGCAAACTTCCATCCTATGGCATCCCGGAAAAGCGGGTTCTCCTTTTCATCCCACAACGTCAACGCGGGTGTTCCCCAGGGATCGGTCTTGGGTCCGACACTGTTTCTCTTACATATCAACGACCTCCTTTCCTGCACGATCAACCCAATCCACAGGAGGCTAGTGGCGACATCCTCTCTGACAAGAGACCTGGAGGCTATCACTGCTTGGGGACGCAACAATCTTGTACAGTTCAATGTTTCCAAAACACACTGTACTTTGACGAACAAAAATCGTCCTAGCGCTCATCCGTTTTCGATTGATGGCCGAGTTCTGCCAAAGAGCCATTCATTTCGGCTGGTCGGAGTCCAGATCACCGAGGACCTGATCTGGCTCGAACACATCTTGTCAATAGTTGCAGCTGCTGGGAAAAAGCTAAGCTATTTGTTTAGAGCTAATGAATACTTTTCTCCGCATGACCTTCTCACTCTATACAAGGTCCTCGGAGCTCTCTTCCATGACGCCGCCTCGCGATATGCCTGCTAGACAGCCCCGCCTAACTTTGGCGTCCCATCCTAACCGTGTCGAGCTTCGTACATCCAGAACCGGGCGATACGACCGCTCCTTTGTCCCGAGAGTGTCGAGACTGTGGAGCAATCTACAAGAGGAAGGTTTTCACAGTTCTACTAACCTTAGGCAGTTCAAAAATCGTATTAACAAAATTTCTTGGGGATCATTTAGGTTTCTGCCTGCGCAGCTGTTTCGATATAAAAAAAGGTATAATGTGAAAAAATCTTTGATTTCCGTCTTTTTCATTTTCACATGCACTCTTTGAGCGAAAAGAACAAATTCACTTATTTCCTTTGTCATCAGTAATACAATCACTATTTCTACTAAAATATCCTCAGTATTCTTTCACCACCCTGTTCTCAGTATTCTGTTTACTTCACAACGAAACAGTTTACGTCTGTTTTTACTTTGAAACACACAATGAAAATCACAATCACAAGCAAATTCTGACTCGTTGAAAACATCGGAAGTATGTTTTTGTGTACTTCTGAAAATAAACAACTATATTTAATCTAGTGAATTAATAAGAAAATGTACGCTTATTAAACTTTAAATGGATATTTAGTCGTTATATACTACTATATTCAATGTTAACCAGGGTAAACTTACGAGTACACACAGGATGTAAAGACAAAATCTTGCTCTTTTCATTTCGAGATCGTTTTAAGAAATTTTACTGTCGAACTATAAAAAAAACAATTAATTTTTAATCTTAAAAAATAAAGAAACCTCTAGATAAAATTAGATAATGTCCGAAAGTTTTTGTGTTAGGGTTCGTATATTGTTGGATCGCCTTAATATGCCATGTCATGATAGCGGAAAAAAAGCTGTCGCAGAAATCCAGAATAGCCTCGTTTATTGAACCCAGAACATACAACATAATCCCAAACTATACTGATACCTTTGACTAAATTCCATTGAGGTGATATACAAATCGGTAAATATTGCTTTTACATCCTAGGTGTACTGATATTTAAACACTTATTATTAATTTCAGCTCACGATGAGCGAAAATCTTGATAATTTTGGTTTACCCTGTATAAAAGTGTAATGCAGAAAGTGCAAGCTCGAATTAGAATTGCTGGATGGATGTCATGGGTGTTTTACAATATATTATATGCTCACTGTAATGGTACAATTTATTATTTGTATATATGTTTTATTCTTTCACTTATTTTTGTTTTATCATTATTATTGATTTTTATTATATTGAATTTTAGATTTGGGAGAAACAAGGTACGTGATGAATTGAATTCCTGTACATCCAGAACAACCGATTCTTTATTCCTAGCAATTGAGATTATAAAAAATCTTCCTTAACAAATATTTCCCAATTTTCCTCAGTTCAAAAATGATATCAGTGGCTGCTTCAGTATAAAGAAATTGAATAATCTGTTGTAAATTTTGGTGCCTTGTCCCAAATCACCATTTGTTTCATTTTAACTCTAGCACAATTGAATTATTAGTTTGTAATTATGAGAAATGTATCTATTGTTCTTTGCAATTTTGTTTCACGATTTTTATCTTCCTTTTTTAGGATATAGGAGACGCAGTGATCAAAAATGTATTAAGTTTTTTCGAATCATACAAGAATTCGCTGCATTCCAAAACTTGAAAAGCATTTATTGTCTTTTAGAGTAATGAAAATCTAACTTACAATTGTTTATTATCTAATGGGATTCACTATATTCGCATCAACACTTGCATATACATACAGGGTTTTCCATTAAGGACTTGAAAATTTTCTTTTCAAATAAAACGCAAATCATTAGAGATATCTCGGAAATTTTATTATTGATTGAAGTATACTCAAAACATTTATGTATGGAATTCGACCTCGTTCAAATGTTCACCACGGGCATGTTCGCAGCGATCGATTTAATGTAGCCTAACAAAAAAAAGTCTAGAGGTGTTAAATCACACGATCTAGGCGGGTATTCAACAGGACCATTTCTCGATATAACACGTTCACCGAATTTTGATTTCAATATGTCGATTCTTTCATACGCTCTGTGGCTTGTGACACCGTCTTGTTGAAACCACGTATCATTAATGTCTAGCCAATCCAATTGACCAAAAAAATAACGTTGCAACATGTTTCTGTTGACTGTAACGTGACGGTCATTTTCATCAAAAAAAAAAAAAAAAAAACGTCCCAATGACACCACAGGCATGAAAACCATACCATAGAGTTTTTTTTGTGGATGAAGTGTTTCTTGAAGCACCACCTGACCAATAACGCATATTCTGTTTGTTGACGAAGCCGTGTAGGCAAAAATGCGCCTCATCACTGAAGATGATTTTGCGATGAAATTGGTCATTTTCCTGCAGCATTTCTAGAGCCCCATTCGAGATCGTACGTCGGTTCGTATGATCGTACGGTTTTAATTCTTAAGTTAACTTGACCTTATAAGGGTGCAGGCCAAGATCTCTTCGCAAAATTCGCCGTAAAGTGGTCTGAGCGATGCACAATTCTTGAAAACGCCGTGGAATCGACGTGTTCTGTTCGTCTGCGACGGGAGCTTGAACGGCAGAAATATTGTTGTCTCACTAGCACGGGAACATCCAGCAGCGAATATGTGGACTCAAATTTTTTTACTAGACTATGAATTGCTTGTCTACTGGGAGGAGAATTACGACCAAAAATTGGCGTTAACGCTTTAAAGTTGCAGTCGCCGACTAAATTATAATTATTTGTAAGCGTTGTTCGTTCGTGTACTTCACCATGATGAAAATGTTTTCTTTATTGAATGTTTTGACATTGACAGTTCGGTAATTGATTTAAAGGTGCGTTCACAGTGAAAGCTCAAAGTTGTCGAGTCCCTATTGGAAAACCCGATACTTTAATTGAAATGAATGTGGTCATATTTTAAGGGGTGCCATATACTAAG